TTTACCACTTTTCTCACACCATCAAACAAGTGAGCATGGTTGACAGAGCTTGGCTGTGAATGCAGTGACGTGCGGTGAGGTTCAGGACCGGCCGGGGAGGCACTGGCTGGAGTGGACTGGAGTCAGACTTACAAATACACATTCCCCAAAGCTTCTATTGATAGTATGAGACTAGAGGCGTTCATCTCTGCCTCCAGTCTGACGGTGCAGCGCCTCACAATAGAAACAGAAGAAGAAGAAGAAGAAAATATCATTTCTATAGCACCTCTCAAGATGAAAATCACGGGGCGCTTCACAAAAACAAAAGATGTAAAAATATAAAAAAGCATTTAGAAAATGTTTAAAAATATATGTAAAATGTGCAAAAATAGACTATTGTGATTAAAAAAATGTTAAGAAAGAGAGAGATAATTGGAAATAGGAAAATCAGTGGATCCTGAGGAAGGTGGAATAGGTGGGGAGAGCAGAATAAAGAGAGAGTGTTGGAAAAGGTCATACAAAAGCCAGTTTGAACAAGTGAGTCTTCAGCTGCTTTTTAAAGGAGACCACTGAGTCCACTGATCTCAGTGTGACAGTGTGAACATCCTGTCACAATATCCCGATAGATCATGTGCCCTGGCTACTTGGCCAAGGGGTTGTCCCTTTGGCTGACTGGTTAGAGCGTATGACTCTCACCCGGGAGTCTGGGGATCGAATCCCGCCCGGGCCCTCGTTTATCCACCTTGCCACATCAGGCTCAGGGGGAGAGAGTTCCAGAGTCTGGGGGCCACAGCAGCAAATGATCTGTCAGGGGTTTGGCACGTGCGCCCTGCCATGTGCGCAGGCGTGAGAGCAAGGCAGCTAGTTCATCGCCTCCACTTGGGCTTAAGTATTTGATCAGGAAATGGGTACATTTCAGCAATTTTGACCATAAACATGTTGAAGTCAAACATAAACCAGTCAGTGGACACATTGATTTCCCACTACATCATTATTGGTCTAAATAGTCACGATGACTGCCTTCCCTCCTCAGACCACACGTGACTGCATGAATGGAGAGTGTGATGGTTAAAAACGTACATATAACTTATTTATGCCGTGTGTTACCCTATCAGTTAGTGTGACCGGCCAAAAATGTTTGGGTTATGGGGTGCCATTTGTAAAGTCAAACAGTCATAATCTAACAGCAATATTTTTGGTTATTTAGCATATCATAAGAGAAAAAATTGGGAGATCACTTTTTCAAAGTCATATTTTCACCCCCATGGGTCGTCTGATGAAGCGTTTATTGTAGACAAACGTGACACAAAATGCTGCGACAAGCAGGGATTTCAGAACATTAGAATATGAGGTAACTTTCCTGATTGGCTAGTTAATAAAAACGTGCATTTAATGCACTTTTTTTTTTCACTATTATCAGGAACGTTCCCAAAAACTGTTTAAATAACTACTAGTGTTATATGTCACAAAATGGGATTTATCCATAAAGAAGCCTTTAACTTCTGCGAACATTCAAGACTGACCTGACCCAACCCTAACCCCCAAAATATATATATTTAAGATATTTTAACACAAAATCTTGCTGATTCTAAAAATTGTGATGCAAAGATCTTAAATATGCTGTTAGCCCAGTGCTACACTTAGGCACAAATGCATTTAATTTACTGGAACAGGTTAGAAGCTGCACCATTTGAAAATAACTTCAAAAATTAAGTCCATCATCTTTGTGCTTTAGTGCACATTTTTTTCAAGACGATCCGCATTTCATGTAAATTTGCAAAAATCAGAAGCTAAGATCTTATTTCTGCTTATTTTCCTACATTATCTGGTATTACGCCTAAAAATGCAGGAATATCAAACCATTGTAGATGCGAATGAAAAAGCTATGCAACTTAATATAATTTTCTTTTTTTTAATTTTATTTACAATTATTTTTTCAAAAGTTACCAAACTTTAGTATAAAAACCTGTTAATTAGATCTTTGTGACACTTGTGAATAAACATCAAAATGACATCCAGCAGGTGTACAAATACTTTATTATGTTAAGCACTTTATGCCATGAACTCGTACGGGATGGGCTCCAGAAGCTGTGGCTCGTTCTTCTTGGTGCTGACAAAGTGTGCCTCACGAGGAGGAGCAGGCTGAGGAGGAAAGGATGACAGGAAATTAGGAATTATGTGATACAACTTGTCGATGGTGAAGACTGCATGCACTGACATTTTTATATTCTAGTCTGGGTGCTGTTAAGAGACTGAGCAGCACAATTATCGGTTAATCCTCATAATGGAGCTATAATCGGCTCATACCTGACGTTTCAGCTCCACCCAGGTGCCTTTCTGCTTGGCCTCCAGCTTTTTGCGCTCATTCTCTTTGACGCGCTGCAGGAAGCTGTCCCTGCTCTTCGAGTGTTTGATGTGCTCGATGCGCACGTTAATCCTTTTGGCCAAGATCTTGCCTCTGAAAAACCAAAGAGAAGAAGGCAAAATACCCCATCAAATATGTAAACCCTCAATCATGGGAAAACCTTAGATCATTGACAACTGTTTCCTCGACACACCCCAATCTCAGAACAGAATCTTAAGCTGGAGGTGATTAAGGCTGAGCTATTGTCCCCCACACGAATGACCGGCCAGGACAGGAAGGCTCCAGGCGGCAAAGTGAAGGTGGGGTTACATAATACATGATTAAATCAAAAGGTTTTAGAAACAAAAGAAACAAATTGTAACCAAAACACTAAGATGCACACAAAGTTTGTGCACTTGTGTTAAATTTTAATTCAATCTTGAATTCTGTAGCTAAAGTCTTTCACCGCAAACTAAATAACAAAAACAAGCAGTTTAAATGAAGTGCACAGAAAAGTTGTCACAAAATTACAAAAGTTTCTACTCACTTGACCTGCTTGTTGACAATGATGCCAACAGCATGTTGGGTCACATTGTAGACTCGACCCGTCTTGCCATGGTAGCATTTGTGAGGCATACCTTTTTGAATGGTACCTGTGCCCTGAAAATAGATCACATCTTGTCACAGCGTGAAATAAAGTGTTTATTTTGATTTGAAGAAGTCAAGTGAAATGACAATCAAATCCATCTGCAAACACCTGTGCCAAAATAACACCCAGAATTTGGGCTTCATTGGAAATCACACATTTCTAAAAGTACTTGATGGCCTTTTAAAGAAGATCTGTGCTTGACGTTTTTAATAAACCTATGTACATTCAAAAATAAATTAAAACTCAATGGTTTGCAATATTGAGGAAACTGAATCAACGTGAATGTCTTTAGTTTCCTACCTTGATGTCTACGATGTCTCCTTTCTTGTAGATGCGCATGTATGTTGACAGAGGGACAGGGCCTGTAAAGATGAAAAATTATAATTGTGGACTGCGTACTAACCAGTAAAATGGGTATCTAGATCCAAGTCCATTAACTCATGTTGCATCTTAACTGACCAGTTATGATCTTATTCCACTTTATATCAGAATAACTCATTATTGCAAAATACACGTCACAATTGGGAGTATGCCAAATAAATAAACTGGTACAAGACGTGTACTGAGTACAAAACAAGCTTAATGTCAAACTGCTTCTTTAGATGGAAAGATGTGCTTCTTCCTTTTTTGGGAAAAAATTAAGACATCTGCTTATCTGTGAGTCCTTTGCTTACGTGGTAAATTATCTGATTGCTAAAGTTAAATGAAGATACTCACCATGCTTGCGGAACGGCCTGCTGAACATGTACCTGGTCCCCCTCCTTTTGCCTCTGGTGTTCGTCATGATGCCTGATCACTGGAGATGGAAATACTTGCATTACTACTTCATAATAAAAATTATGAAACAGTATATCCTTAAATGGCAAAAACTTATATTTATCTGGACTTTAAAGTATCTGGTATATATTGTCAGTGTTTCAGCTGGTTGTAACACCGTGCTAGGTAATGCAAACTGCTAACATGAGCACCAAAAGGGTGACAATATCCAACTTGTCAACTATAAGCAATAATACATATAAGCAATAATACATCTTTTTAAGATTTATAAAAACATATCTACGCGATAGGATCGGTTTGTGACTTTAAGTGCGTGATAGAGGTAATGTGTTGAAACACTGTATAGTAGGGCCGCATGGGAAAGCCACGCTGCGGGTCCCGCTTATATTTAACGAACAACACTCAAACAGGAAACGTGTTTCAACATAAATTAACCCAATATGGTGTAAAGAAACGTCTTTGGTCCGTTTCTAATAACAAATAATCACGAACGAATGTGGAATTGGGAAGAAAATCCACATTAAAAAGGAGAGCATCTTACCCCCGGTGTCTACAAGATGGCGGGTACGGCGAAAAGGGAGACTGAAGGCCCCCGAGCTCCTCCTTCTTATCAGACCGCAACATTGCCTAAACTAAAAAGAGTAACTCTGCTCTCTGTCTCTCGGTTGGGTGATTTAAAAATTAAATACATGTTTACCCTTGTTATTTGTTTTTGTGTATTTTTTTGTCCATTTTTATGTAATTTGTTTTAGAGCAAATTATTCTAATTTCAATCATCACCTGAATATTATATCTGTCTGTAATGCGTCTTGGCCAGCTAGTCACTGTAAGTGAGAACTGAATCTAGGTAAGAAGAATAAACGTTGAGAATAAAATACATGTATTTTGAAATCGGTACTGAGATCTATTTCTGTAATGACATTTAACGCAAAATATTTAACAGTCGGACATTAAGTCTTCCAAACATTGCCTTTCACATCCGCTGTCGGTACAGGACACCGGTCTTCAAATAGAATACAAAAAATATTGGATTGTTTCGCTAATAATGTTTAAATGCGAATGTCTTGAAAATAAAGTTTTTTAAATTAACAAAAGTAAACAGGTAAAAGTATAAATACTTAAAATAGTACTTATATAGTACTTAAACTGTTTTAACGAGTCCAATCGAACGTATATTTTATCTTTGTGGTAAAAATGATTTCTGAATTGGCACTTTGCCTGAAGACCAGATTCAGTTGCAGCAACAAAACGACGGCGGAAGAAGCAGGCAGGGAATGCTCTTGTATTTTCGGAGCGGCAGCGGCTGAGCCGCAGTAGCCTACCCGTCCTCACGAGGGGAAGCAGCCCAGTTCTGTCAGCGCGCGGCTGTGTTGTGGAAGATGGCGTTAGCCGAATGGAAATCCTAATGACAGTCTCCAAATTTGCCTCTTTTTGTACCATGGTGAGCTCACGACTGTTTCATTTTGGCTTTATTCACTCTATGTAGGTCAGTTTAAAATTTACAACCACAGCGATATTAGCTATTTAAACCGCGAAAATATAAATGAAAGCAGTTATTGTGCTAGGCAAGCAGTATTCGGTTTGTAGTAAGCGGGCAGCCACCCACCGCCTTCACGCTCCTCCGCACCTCCTTTCCCCCTCTCACGCCTACATTAAGAAACATAAATCTTTCCTGCGTTTTAACCTTTAACTTTACAGCCTAATTAACTGATATTTATAACAGTTTATGTGAGGACGGTGACACTGCACCTGCTGAAGCTGTGGTTCGAAGCTAACATGCTAAAGCTAAAATCAGTGTATGTCAACAACTGGAACAGCTGGGTTATGGATGACTTAAAACTGGGAAACGAGTGGCCTAAAATATGTGTTAAAACGTTGAATCACGAGATTTAAATACTTTAATGTTTCAGAAAGAAATGATTTATATTTCATGACATATAATGACGACATTGACATTAGGGGCGCAGTTTTGTGTTCCTGTCTTCTGAATCTTAATCTCATCAAGTATAGAAGTGATGTATAAACAGACACCAAATCAGGGTCAAACATGGATGCTTTTTGTGTTTACTCACACATACATCCTCACAGTTTTACATTTAAAAGCCTTTGGGGAAGATTAAGTACAAACTTGTCTACTTTCAGCCACAAAAACTGTTGTAAAATGCTGATTTATACACAATGCTAATGTTCATCCATCCTAACTCACAGTTCATATCATGTAGGGGACAGTAAGACATGTTTTGTGCTTTTTACAGGGCGCCAATGCCTCTGCTCTGGAGAAAGAGATTGGATCTGAGCAGTTTCCGGTTAACGAACACTACTTTGGCCTGGTCAATGTAAGTGACCGCTGAAAGATTAGCACAATATTGAAATCACAACTTGATCTTTGATCTTTGGCCATAGATATTATTCTTGTATGTAGAGAGTTGGTACAGATGCAAGTCCTGCTGAGCTGAACCTGATTGTTTAAATGAGTCATAAACACTGAAGTTATAACTGCAGCAGCTAATATATGAGTCATAGTCAAGGTTTTAATCTAATATTGATTAGTTGGTTGTACAATAATCCTTTAATTTTCTCTTATAGTTACGTTTGACTTTTATTCATGATTTAATCGCGACAATTTCTTGGAGTTTTTGGATGCAACTTAAAAGGCAGAAAGGTAAAACTTTTAATTTCATGATTTAAAAAAAAAAGTAGTGAATAATGATTAGATCTGCCTGAATTTAAATGACGCTACAGCGATAGTCAGCACATGAATTTTACAGTTTTTTTATCCATCTATGTACCACTGAGAGTGATTTCCAGAAGCAAAGCTGACGTTAACCTGCAAACTAACAACTTAAACGGTCACTTTAAAATCATTTTGGCTTTTTTAAATAAAACAAATCACATTTCTGTTGCCCACAAGGACTTTTAAAGGGGCAATATGGAAGTTTGACAGCCAAAACATGTATAGAAATAATACATTTTTCTTCATACATTCTCCTGCAATGCCCTGGTCCTGTAGAATGAGCCCTGGCATTTTTACTGTGATTGCCTGTTTTTCTGTAAAATCACAGAAAAAGAGAGATGTTTGGGTCGAGCAGGCTGCTTCATGCGCGTTCACGCTCAGGCATCGCCCGTAGCATTTGCTATCAGTAGCTTTAGCAGCAGAGAGAGAGAGGCAGTGCAACTTTGTCGCTGTTCCTAACGCCTAGTGACAAACCTAGCTACATTTCTGAGGACCCTTAAGCCGGGCGTACACTGTGCCACTTTTTCACTCGCAGCGTTCAGCTTCAGCTCAAACTGTACGACTTCCTCGCAGGGCAGATCTCACGAGTCATGCGCTCACACTGTACGACCCAGTTCTCGGATGCGACCTGACTGCTCACACTGTACGTCTGGTAGCAACACGTCGGCCCTAAAAATATGCTAAAAATAGCAGTTTTTACTCAACACGTCCAGACTTTTTTGTCTTGTTTTGCCTGTTGTCCTTCGGGAGTGCTGCAGGAGGACACAGGGATTTATGGGGGTTGGATGAGGAAAACGAAATAAAGAAAGTAAATCTGTGTTTTGTGATCAATTTAGTTTGACATGAACACGACAAACACGCTTTCTTGACAATCCTTGTGAGTAAAAAAACGTGTAGAAACAAAAACGAACAATGTGTGTTATTAGGGAAATAGCGGGCGAGCGGTGTTGATGCAGGATTGCGCATGCGCCGTGAGCGGTTCTGATACATTTTGGGTCGCAGCTGCTCGCTGCGCCGCTTCAACAGTGCGATACCCTCACGACGGACGAGCGAAATATTAAACACGCCAGAAGTCCGTGCGAGCTCACGATTGCTGATCGGTAGCTGGCCACGTGGTGTTAATCGCCTCTCGTAACCTCCTGTACACTACACGACCGCTCGGTGCAAAACTCTCCCCGATGTCGTGGATTCTCCCACGACTGGAAAATCGGCTCAAAAAAGTGAAAGTCGCACAGTGTACACCCGGCTTTAGCTACTTTCTGTAGAACTTTCTTCTAGATATTTCCTGCAAATTAGCAACAAAATAGCCATTTTCGCTCCGAACCGTTCTTTGGATTGACGTGTTTTCAGGTGTCATCAAGGATATAAAAGTTACAGATACAAAAGACGTCACTGGCGCTTTAGCTCACCTAGTAGGACGTCGGACTCTCGTGCAGAAGACCCGGGTTCGATTCTGGGTGTGAACATAGTTTATTTAGAGTTTCTTTTTTACATTAATGGTATATTTTTTTTACAGTAAGATGCCCAAATTTTTATTTGAGACTCGCCGAACGGCATTGAATTCACAGATAAAAAAAGATGTGGGTTCAACTTTCATTTTGGAACAATTTTTCAAGCAAGGGAAGGGAATGATCTGTGAAGCTGACGGACTGACCCATCTTAAACCTTTGTCTGTGCTGAAGAGAAAGGTACAGAACCAAATTATTTAATTAATTAGCTGCGCGTTCTCCTGTCCTCTGTCCTCCCGGCCCCACACACACACACACACACACACACACACACACACACACACACACACACACACACACACACACACACACACGAGACTGTCTCAGCAGTTATTTTCATTAAGGAGTGTGCACGTACAGCATGCGCGCCTCGTGCACGAGCCTACTATTGAAGCTGCCATTACGCTTTTGGCCTGAGGGGGCAATCGCGAGCATAAAAATTAAAAACTCTGTAAAGTCCCTTTAACTTAATGATTTTTGCCCTTGTCTTGAAAAGTTTGGACACCCCTGCTCTAAAACATCTCTTAAATGATGTGGAGACTGGTAAAAGGACTGTTCAGATCTTTGTTTGCCTTTTTAAAAAGATTTAGGAGTTATTAGTCAGACTGACTTGTTGCATGATCCACTCTTTATCATCATTTTTAAAATGATTAAAAAATATATATGTTTCTTTATACCTTCCCAGGATTTTTATTTATTTTTACCATTTTCTGATATGAATGATCTGATTAGACCTAAAAATGATCCATTACAAATGATCGGTGGTAGAATGGATTGCTTTAATTTGATAAATGTAGCGATGCACCGATATGAAATTTTTGGGCCGATACCGATATCCAATATGGAGATCACTGTTATGGCCGATAACCGATATTTGCCAATACCGATATACTGACATTAATGCTTCTACCATCAGCAGATTTTGTATAGAATGAATATTATTGAAGCTGAATTTTTGTTATTATGTACACACAACACACACATTTACAGTTCTGAGATGATTTCATTCACTGTGACATGACTAAACAAATTCACATCACCCCTCTCATCCTCTGAAAATATCGGTAGATAATATCGGCCCGTTTTTTTTTTTTTGGACCGATACCGATGTTACAAAATGACTTAACATCGGCCGATATTGATGCCGATATATTGTCCATCCCTAATAAAATGTTTTTATTTACATAATTGTGGAGCATCCCATCTGTCAGAAATAGAGAGAATATTAAGATTATGACCATAAACTACCACTGATGAGCACCAATCTGAGCAGCACGTTTTTGTCCCTGATGCTTATGATGTCACCTGTTTCACAACTCATGCAGATGAAGAAACATGCTTAAGCCTAATCAACCATGCAAGTTGGTCTGGGACGAATCAGATTTGTTTACTCCTGGTGCTTTTGCTGCTGAATTATCTCCTCAGTTTGGGAACACCTGCTACTGCAACTCAGTGCTACAGGCTCTGTACTTCTGCCGGCCGTTCCGGGAGAAGATCCTGGCGTACCGCAGCCAGCCGCGGCGAAAGGAGAACCTGCTCACCTGCCTGGCCGACCTTTTCCACAGCATCGCCAACCAGAAAAGGAAAGTGGGCGTCATACCACCCAAGAAGTTCATCACACGGCTGCGCAAGGAGAACGGTCAGTGTGGCCTCACCCAGAATGTCCCGCTGAGCCTGTAGCACCTCGTAAGTGTCTGTTCTTTTCGTTTCCACAGAGCTGTTTGACAACTACATGCAGCAGGATGCCCACGAGTTCTTGAACTACCTGCTCAACACCATCGCTGATCTGCTTCAGGAAGAGAGGAAGCAGGAGAAAACCAACGGCCGCCTTGCCAACGGCACGTTGGACTCCCAGAACAACAACAGCAACGCCACGCCGGCTCCCACCTGGGTCCACGAGATCTTCCAAGGCACTCTGACCAACGAGACGCGCTGTCTCACCTGTGAAACGGTGAGAGGAGACTTCTCTGTCAGACATCATTTCAAATTATTTGATTTTTGCTTATTTATCTCTACATTTCTTCTAATATTTTCAGATTAGCAGCAAAGATGAAGACTTTCTGGACCTTTCTGTGGACGTGGAACAGAATACCTCCATCACACACTGCCTCCGGTAAAGAATCACACTCTCACCCTCGAGCTGCAGCAGGTCGAAGTCGCTCGTAATCAAAAGTGACATTTGAAGGCTGTAATTCTCGGGGGATTTGTGACGACTGCTGAGACAAAAGGTCTAACCTTCAGGGTTTTAGGGGATCGTGCAACGTTTTCTTACTCCTTCAGGTGCATTTGCACAACTTTTTCAACATTATTGGCACAAAAAGCCCTTTTTTGCCTTGTAATGTTCTGACTCGTGCTTTTGTGTTTGCTGCAAGAGTACCTGTGTGTTTACGTCCCTTCAGTGCTCCGCTTTAAACCAATCAATGATTTATTTTAGCAAAATCAGCTGGAAAGCCTCCTAACGGAGATCAGGGCAGCGTCAGAGTAGAAGCAGATACTAATGGAGACATCTGATATCTACCAAATAACAGTGTCTTTGTGTTCTCTCATTGCTAACTGCACTATAAAAGTAGATTAAAGTTCTTGAAATCAATATCTGTAAGGGAGTGTTTGTAAACAAGTGTGTGTGATGCAGAGTCTGTTCAGAACCCCACCCCATTTAGCATCTCAAGCCTGACTTTGTGAGATCTGTAAATTGTTAGAGCATTTTAGAAGTGAGCACACCGAGGTTTGGTGAAGACGTCAAGACAATGAAATGGCGTTGGGTCGTTGTTTTAAATTCAAACAAATTCTCGCGTACTGGAAGCCATCTTTAATGATCTTTGATTCGCGCTAAGCTAAGCCGAGTGAGTACATTTTAGATCAGCTCTGTAGAATAAAGCTCTGCTGCTACTTCCTGGTTAACGGTTTCAGTGATACAAGCTGTGTTGGATGTTTGGATTTAAATCGATGCGTATTTTGCATAAACTACACCAGAGTATCAGTTTCTAAATGAACTGAACTGTTTCCATCTGTTTGTTTCCTGTCAGAGGTTTCAGTAACACGGAGACGCTGTGCAGCGAGTACAAATACTACTGTGAGGAATGTAGAAGCAAGCAGGAGGCACACAAGAGGTCAGGATGCCGTTATTTCTTTGTAAATCTTTGTGTTTTGGGGCGTTAACCTCCATTTTTCTAACGAGAGTCTTTTTTTATATATATATATATGTATATATAAAAAAACGTAGGATGCGAGTAAAAAAGCTGCCGATGATCCTGGCTCTGCACCTGAAGCGCTTTAAGTACATGGAGCAGCTGCAGCGATACACCAAGCTGTCTTATCGCGTCGTCTTCCCCCTGGAGCTCCGCCTCTTCAACACCTCCGGGGACGCCACCAATCCTGAGAGGTTATACGACCTGGTCGCTGTGGTGGTGCATTGTGGGAGGTGATTACACAAGCTCAGAACATCGTAATCTATCTATTTACCATACTTTGTTAGTGCAAGTGGAATTTTGTTGACATCAAATATAAAACACGTTGGTCAGCCTAAAAGAGTTTGGAGACTCGGCAAACTGGTTTTGAATTTTACACAAGTCAGAGGAAAGTTTGTTTATGCTTAAAAATGGCAGCTTTTTCTATCTTCCTGCCTGATCTGTGGCGTGGAAGGATTTATTTAACTTTAAAACGACCAGAGCCAAACTATCTAGATAATTAAATAAAACTCTCTTGAGTGAGTGCTGTAAGATGAAACAATCCTGATGGTTTTTAGTTTCTTTGCTGGGCCTCGCTGGTCACACCGATGCTGGTTTGTCTGACAGGAAGTGTGTTTTTACACAAACTTAAACGCGTGACGAACCTTTATTGAGACGAAACTGGTTTTCTCCTCAGTGGTCCAAACAGGGGTCATTATATCGCCATCGTGAAAAGTCACGACTTCTGGTTACTCTTTGATGATGACATCGTGGAGGTGAGTGAGCGCTGGCGTCTGTTTCAGGCCGCATGTGTGTGTTTTCTCTAACGCTTCCTCCTGATTCTGCCCTCGTAGAAAATTGACGCTCAGGCCATAGAGGAATTTTATGGCCTCACTTCCGAAATCTCCAAAAACTCCGAGTCGGGCTACATCCTGTTTTACCAGTCCAGAGACTAAACGTGGGCCCGAGTGCGTTGCTGCTCCCGCTTCTGCTGTGAGGGCAGCGGACTGTGAAACACCACCGCTGTAACTCACACCTGTGCTTTTCACGGACTCGGCACTGAAGCTCAGCTCTGGATGTTCTCTCTAATTACTAGCTGAACCCCAACGGCCTCCATTTCCTTATTGTCCTGTCATCCGCTGCCACTACTTCTGCTGCTGCTGCGAGGACAGGTAATGAAACTGATAGTTAAAAAAAAAGACTGAGGGTTGTACAGATGTTGATTGCTTGTATGAGTGGTGTTCTAGTTTTTGCCTTGGGTGTGGGGTGAATGGGTATTTAATTCACATTATGTAATACTGGCCTGGAACTTCACGTCCCACAATGTTATTCTATACTGTGACGGAGCTTTGGTCATGGATGTAAAGGACGACGGGCGGATCGGAGGCGGAGGTGGGGGGGTGTCCCACTTCTAGGACACCTTGTCCCTGGTTGTGTATTTCTACAGTGTACAGAATGGTATTTGTATAAATATTACAGGATAATATTATCATTGGACAGATGTTAGACCTTGAGAAGATGTATTAACACTATGGTGCACTTTTGATACCGTTTTGTAGGTGTTGACGAGCTTAATGTGAGGGGTTGCTTGAAAAGGCCTGTTGTGAAACGATCATTTTCTGTTTTAAAGAAAAAAATAATAAAACCGTAAGATTCAGAGTCTTCTCTCCTTTCTTTGATGACTCATGGGTGGTGTGCTCGACGTCGCCCCCAGTGGCATATAGCGGTACTTCTTGTGATGGGACAGACAGATCTTGTCTGGTCCCATCCCAGTTCAGAGCCAGGTGGCTCACATTAGATTGATTGCAGGGCGGGGTGAGCCATCCAATAAAACCCAGGGTGGCGTTGTTGCAAGCTTTTTATCCTTAATCTATATTACCAACTCTCACATGTCATATTCTGTTTTTCTATTTCAGTCAGAGCATTTAATAATTCATTCTTTCCCAAAGTACAGAGGGCTAAACAAAAGTTTATTATGAAAGTTACTATTAAAAGAAAAACCAATACAGAGTATTATGTATTGGGTTGTGAGTATATAATCCTGATATATATATATATATATATATATATATATATATATATATATATAGTGGGATTAAAAACATGAGACTCATAAGTTTTAACTGTATTCTTTTTAGAGTCAATCAGTTTCAAAGTGATGATGCAATATGAGATCCAAACCATAATTATGACTTAATAGGTTAAAATCCTGGCTCACGCTGTTTTTCAGCTGGATTTCTTCATTTGCATTGTGACAACTAGAGAGGAGGCACACTAGCCTAGAAATCTAGACGGACCGCAGCCGAAGCAGAATGGTTTTGCTCTGCGTGTCGGTCTAGCTACGCTCTATTGGAGCAAGCTCGACAGTTATGTGTCTTGACAATCACAGCGCTCTGTTAGTGTGGTGGACAGGATGATGCGATGGAGCGGAATGACAAAAGTTTCCTCTAGCGCCTCAAGATAAAAATCACGAGGCGCTTCACAAAAACAAAATGTAAATTATAAAAAATAATTTAGAAAATGGTTAAAAATATATTTAAAATGAGCAAAAAATAGACTATTGTGGTTTAAAAATGTAAAGAGCGTGAACAGGAAAGAGGGAAATCAGTGGATCCTGAGGAAGGCGGAATAGGTGGGGAGAGCAGAACAAGGAGAGGGTGAAGAAGGTCACACAAAAGCCAGCTTGAACAGATGAGTCTTCAGCTGCTTTTTAAAGGAGACCACTGAGTCCACTGATCTCAGGCTCGGGGGGGGGGGGGGGGGGAGGGGGGGGGGGGGGGGGTGTTCCAGAGTCTGGGGGCCACAGCAGCAAATGATCTGTCACCTTTGGCCTTTAGCCTGGTGCGTTGCACAACCAGTAGGCTTTGATCACTGGACCTCAGGGACCTGCTGGGGGTGTAGGGACTAAGAAGATCACCAATGTAAGATGGTGCTTGTCCATGTAAGGCCCTATAGACCAAAACCAGGATCTTGAAATGAACCCTGAAGTTGACTGGCAGCCAGTGAAGCTGGAGGAGAAGCGGGATGATGTGGGTGTGTTTGGAGGACTTGGTCAGAAGTCGAGCACAGGCGTTCTGAACCACCTGTAGATGGTTCAGGGAGGTTCTGCTCAGACACGTGAAAAGAGAGTTACAGTAGTCTAAGCGTGAGGAGATGAAGGTGTGGATAATTGTCTCAAGTTCAGAGCGGGACAGAAAGGGACTCAGCAATGTTCCTGAGATGGAAGAGCGAATAAGTCCCAATCAATGTTTTTTGCGTGATTCCCTGGGTGTATTTTATTTGATCGATTGCAGATTGAAGTTGTAGGTTTTCTGACATAGTTTGGGCCGATCCCACTGGACGAACACAGGCGAGTAAATCACCCTCACGGTCAATGGGTTTTTTCACGATTTCACAACGAGGGATTTGTCTTGGATGGACGAAAAACGCTCAACGTGGGCTGGGCTTAAGAGTTTTAAACCATAACATGGGACGTAAAATGAGTTTGTCAGGTACTAAATCATGAACTTTGAAATCAATATTAGAGTCATAATTGTGTGTTTTGAATATGGAACACGAACACCAAAGTGACATCTAGTGTGTAGAGGTTGTAGTAACCGTGGAGAGGCCAGGTTCGCAAAAGAGAAAGCACCACGAATCATACAGGGTAAGTACTAATTTGTACTTATAAGCTTATTTTACAACTGTTTTGACATTTGAACTTCTGGGCTCAGAAGCAGTGGCTTGATTTGTCTAGTCTGCCATTTTCCACAGCGCCAGCCTCGCTGTGACAAGGAGACTGTTTATGGCAACCCACAATTGTTGGCCAATAGATGGTAACATGAACCCAGTGACCATCAAAATAATATTTGTTTATTTTTAAACTGAAATTAAGTTTTTAAAGGAGATAAGTCATAAACATGACTTACAATCATGTTGAATTAGAATATGATTGGTGACCTTTACGAAAGTTGGGTCCATTCATTTATTTGTTTATTTCTTTACTTTAAAAAATTTACAATTTAAAAAGGCTTTTTTTTGGACTGCTAACGTGGTCAGATGAGTTGGAGTCAGTGCAGAAAGAGGTGACAAGAGAAGACGGAGGAGTAGGCAGGAGGCTGACACACATTAATAGCACAGACAGGACCAGAATAGCAGGGCGTCGCAGGAGGAAAGTGAGTCTCTGGATCCACCATCGTGTCTGAAACTTGAGTCTGAGCATCCTACGAAATTAAAAAAAAAGTGTGGATGGTTTTGGTGCTCTGAATATTTAGGCGCTGTGGGACAAAATGTAATAAAAATGGGACACATCAGACCTGCTGCATGTTTCTTTTATATATAAAAATAAATAAATAAATCGAGGCCATATCAACACATCTGTAATTGATCGCGGACCAGTTCAACCAGTTTGGCTCCTCTGTGACTCTTCATCATCATCATGACCATTATCTCCCTCCCTCCATCACGCTCGCACCTCCTGTTCCTCCCTTCCGCGCGCTGCTCCTTTGCACAGCCACGGTCCACAGCGATGCGGCGCTAGTGGCTTTGCCGCTCGCGCTCCTTTCTTCTCCCCTTCCTCTCTCTCTCTCTCTCTCTCTCTCTCTCTCTCTCTCTCTCTCTCTCTCTCTCTCTCTCTCTCTCTCTCTCTCTCTCTCTCTCTCTCTCTCTCTCTTTCTCCGAGCTGCGTCCGCGGCGCCGCATCATCCTGGAACATGGAAATCCAAGGCTCTCGTGCCTCCATCTAGCCGGAGGAGTCTCACCTCACCGAGTCAAGGTAGGCAGGAGATTACTGAGCATCTCTCCCTCTTTTTTTTTTTTTTTTTTTTTTTTACACGCTCGGAAAATTTGCAACCTGATTCTGGTACGTTTTTTTCTCACCACCCCTTGAATTGTTTTGCTGACGTGGAGCAGCCGGTTTTGTTTCTTGGACGCAAGGTGCCCAGGGTGAAGCGGCTGTTTCCATGACGGGTGCGGCGCTTCATTCTGTGGTATTGTTGTTATTACACAGACCCAGAGGGAGAGTGCGTTTGTCGATCACCGTGGCCTCAAAGTTCGCGCAAAACGTACATTTCCTTGTTTTTATCCCAGTTCCTCTGTTAGTTTAATTTTACAAACACCTCCTGTCTTTCTAAGCCTCAATAACTTCCGTCTGTCTCCAAAACCCCAGCAGATCTGGCTTTTATTACCTGTTAACCATAGGCTACACCATTATTTCTTATCAGCCTGATACTATCAGGCATTTGTTGCAGGTTCAGCAGCTCTCAGATGCCTCCAGTACATCCAGTACTACCTGGAGAAAACCGGAGCTGCCTGCAGGGGCTTAGTCTGAGCTGGAGTGCAGACATTTTTGTATTTATGGTGTTTTATTTATTTTATTTTTTACATCTGTGTGATTGCTGTTTCTTGTTTCAGACGTGGGGCACTATGAGTGAAGAGCCACCGGTCTCCCCCAGCTGGCTGAGCCCCGACACCACAGAGTGGGTCACTGGAGGCGAGGGGGCCACGGACAACAGCACCGGCATGGGGACGTTTCCAGGGGAAGGCTACCTCCCGCCCAGCCAGCTGCCACTTCTGGTCAACCCCTGGGACATTGTTCTGTGTTCGTCGGGTACTCTGATAGCCTGTGAGAATGCACTGGTGGTTCTGGTAATCTGGCAGAACCCCGCGCTCAGAGCACCCATGTTCCTGCTGATCGGCAGCTTGGCGCTGGCCGACCTCCTGGCCGGTCTGGGCCTCGTACTTCACTTCACCTGTGCCTACTTGCTTCAATCCGACTCGGCCCAGTTGCTCACCGTGGGCTTGGTGGTGGCGTCTTTCTCAGCCTCCGTCTTCAGCTTGTTGGCCATCACTATTGATCGCTACCTGTCGCTGTACTACGCCCTCACCTACAACTCGGAGCGAACGGCAGCCTTCACCTACACCATGTTGGTGCTGTTGTGGGGGCTCTCTTTGTGTCTCGGCCTGCTGCCGGTCACAGGGGTCAACTGCCTGGCAGAGGAGGCCACATGCAGCGTGGTGAGGCCTTTGACCAAGAACAACATCGCCGTGTTGTCTGTTTCATTCCTGCTGCTCTTTGGCCTCATGCTGCAACTCTACGTCCAGATCTGCAAGATTGTGATGCGCCACGCTCACCAGATTGCCCTCCAGCACCACTTCCTGGCCGCCTCGCCCCACTACGTCACCACACGTAAGGGTGTGTCCACGCTGGCCATCATTCTGGGTACCTTTGCTGCCTGCTGGATGCCTTTCACCGTCTACTCCCTCATCGCTGACTACACCTACCCTCCGCTCTACACGTACGCCACGCTGGTGCCTGCCACCTACAACTCCGTCATAAACCCTGTCATCTACGCCTTCAGGAACCAGGAGATCCAGAAGGCGCTGTGGCTAGTGTGCTGTGGCTGCGTGCCCGCCAGTGTGGCCCATCGGGCGCGGACACCCAGCGACGTTTGACTGAGCAGACCCAGGTGGCAAAAGAAGAGGCAACCTGGGTCAGCTCTGCTCCTCGCTGGAACCGTCCAGCACCAAAGAGAGCTGGGGAGGAGGTGGAGGGCCGCTGCTTCAGTTTGGAGTGGACCAGTCTGGGATAGGTGGTGTTTTCTTTCCCTTGCTGGAGCAAAGTGTCTTCCTGTCTTCCCCCACTAAAGGCCAGTAAGTGGGCTGTCCCCCGCCCACCTTAGTCTGCGTTTCTGCAGAGCGAGCTGAGTGGATCACACGCCACGGCCCGTGTATATACCTCCATAGCTCTGGTTGTTTTCATTCAGATGCAGGGAGGAATAATTAGTTTGCACATCAGTGTTGGAACACAAAGGCATTTCCAAGGTGAAGCCCGTCTGGAACAGCATCCCAACGCTCCGCCGCCGCCGCGCTCTGAACGTGTGTCGAAAGCTGAACAGCCGTGGAGAGCTAAAAATAGAGCTGATGCTCTCTGATCTGCTCCACAGACGCCGGGGAAGAAATCTAGCATCCTTTGCTCCTCATCTCACCCGTTTTCCCTCACTTTCCCTCCTCCTCGTTTTGCTTTAGATTGTGCGTGAGTGCGTTAAGTCCATCGGTTAAGTCCCACCATTAATCACTCCCCACCCCCACAGCCACTCTGCATTTTGTGTTGGTGGGGTGGCACCGAACCAAACAGAGGCGTGTCTGATTATGTAATCACATTAAATCTTCTCTGTTTCTTGGCTTTTCGGAAAGCTGTTTAAATTGAAAGGATAGCTCCGGTTCTTGTGATTATAGCTCTTTGAACAACCGCAGTTTGGAGAAATAATGGCCTGTTTTTTTATTCTGTTCTTGAAAGTTTGAAACGTCTAAATTCTAAATCAACAAGGAACGTCTCCCAAAATCAGAATGCCGACTTGAAAAGTGAAAGGTTCCTGAGCAACCTTGACCATTACGGCTGTCGGATGCATGAAAAACGCTTATAGATCCAGTCATAAATGATTTAATTTCACTGCTGTCAGCCTGTATCTCATATAGGTGCTGTATTTCCTCAGTCAGTCTAAATGCATAGAAAGCAGATACGTTCATTATTATCTTGTACCCGGGCTTTCCACCGGGTGCGAATACGGTGCGTATTGTAAGCAGCGCAAAACGTAATAGACGCATTTTCATCGTGATCTCTGCCGTGCGGTTCTTCCTACCAAAAGCATTTTTCAGGTGAACAGTGAATGCGTTCCATGCAGCGGGTTCCACAAAAGCAGTGGAAAATTGTAATATTACGCAAGATTTTGCCAGTTCACACAATAATAAGCAAGGAGAAAGATATCAGCGCGAATCAGAAAGGTCTGCGGTTTGGAATTCCTGTCAGGCCTGAACCGAACTGCTGAGCTCGACATGTTCTGATGGCATAGCTCGTAAAAAACAAAACAAAAAATAAACATCGGAAATGCAAATCTAGCAGAGCATTGCAACACCTTCCGGGATGCATTCAAGATGCTCCTAGTGGAAAACACACCCATTGGCTATAAGGGCGGCTAATAGCTACGTATTACGTTTGTTATGCGATGAGTACGTATCTGGTGGAAAGCCAGGGTTAGCCTGGTCACTGAGCACATATATAGCGAACCCCTGGTTTTTCTACTTGGAACTAGAAAACTGATAAGTCATGAGTGACATGGTTTCCAGATTTAAGTGTCAACGTAAGAGGCGAATGAAACAAGCTAACGGCTAGTCCAGGAAACTTCCCAAACCTCAAACTTTTTAAGGATTCGGATGAACTAGAATTCAGAAATCTTCTAGGAACATTTTGAGTTTAATGCTCTTTTAAGATGTCATTATCCTCAAACTAGCAGTTAGCTCATCAATCCAAACCAATTTTTTCTCTATTTCTCCTAAATGAAGCAGTTCAAGTGCAATGTAAAATGTTAATTCTTTCTACAAAACTCCACTTCAAAAGGTCTATCATTGCTTGAAGATCCACCTTGCTCTTCCTCGGAGCATTTTTGAATCCCAATGAGCATCACATCAACCTCATTATTTAAAATCTAAATTCATGAAGCGAGCTGTGCTTTGCATGTAATTAGCACAAATGCTCATTTTGTTCTCAGTGTTCAGTATGATGGGTCACACACGGCCGCCGCAGGCCATGACTTCCTGATGTCATCATGACCCTAAAATTTCATGTATAAGAGTAGCTCACATGTACCGCATTAACAGAGCCACAATCGTCACAAGGTCATAAAGAGCTCCGTCCTGTTAGAAAAACACCTTTTTATCCCTGGTACAGCTTGTGCATCTCTTCTACACTGCTCTGAGTCACCGTCTTGAATGTTTTGGTCTTCAAAAGCATCAGATTCCTTATCTCTCCAGGCCATGCCAGCAATAACTGAACCTACCGGAACGGTGGTTGTTTATTAGATGTGAAGCAATACTCAGACAGCAATAACATCCACGTCCCAGCTTGTCTTTTCCCAGCTGAGTGACATGCCGTCATGTTCGTCCAGTTGGGGGTGTAACGGAGAATAAAAGCGCTGAAGTGATGCTTCGGTGACCGGTACTCACTCCTGGGCCATCACTGCCTCATTTCTCCATTTGTGAACATTTTTCTTTTGTTTTCATCACATCTACATTCTCCTCTTACCTTTAATACGTGTGTGTGTGTGTGTGTCATCGGTGTGAGCTGCGTTACGTGCAGACTGTAATCCGGCCCCTCATACTGAATCGTCGTTTCCTGTTTGACACCCTGACCTTAGACACTAACACCTTCAGTCTTCCTGTAAGTTCTCCGAGAAGTGGCCTCGTTACATGTTCGCAGAGCTTGTTGGATGGAGGTGGGACCAGCAGTTCAAGCCAAAGTGTTAAAAATGAACTCTGAATGAGATGAAGTCCTAGTCCTGCTGTCTTTTATCTGCGTCATCAATATTAGACTCTACTTTAGAGCTTATGAGCTAAAAACGGCTACTTCCAAATACAATAATAACAATGCTTCTTCTTTCTATCCCTGCTGCTTCTCATCTCGTCAAGCCGAACTTTTATGGAGTTCCTCTTCTTTGTGGCCTCAGATCAGGTGCAAAACTTTTTTTTTTTAAACTGGAAAACCGTGAGCATTCCGAAGCATGGAGACGTAGCCCGTGGATGTGAACTTGTGCACTGTAGTTATTCGATGAGCACCAACTGTTATTATTTTACCTTGCAGAGAGAAAAGTCTATTTTGTTATAGTCGCTGAAAAGTTTTTTTTCACCACTTCACCTCTCATTCTGATGTGTGATGCGACAGCGCTGTCAAGCCTTTTTCTGAATGTAGTAGTTACTCAAATGAGCAGAAATGCCCCTCCTCCTCTCAACACTGTAAGAAATGAAATGTTGGATTTACTTAACCAAGTTATGTTAACTGGTTTCACTAAAACTAGCGGAGGTGTGGACTCGAGTCACATGACTTGGACTCAAGTCAGACTCGAGTCAGTATTTTAATGACTTCTGACTTGATAAAATCTATAAAGACTTACGACTTGACTCTGACTTTAACGCCAATGAGTTGCGACTTGAATCGACTTGCATCTCATTCTTGGTTCTGGGTGTGATCTTGTTCTGCTAACTGCAGCAGCACTTTGTTTATAATCAGTTTCAGTTGCACTTCTGCTTGTTTGAGCAAATAAATGAAGCTTTATTTCTGGAATTAATTTATTATCATTGTCATTAAATTGAAGTTGGACAGATGACTTGATTATGACTTGAAAATTCAAGGTTAAGGACTTGGGCTTGACTTGGACTTCCACATCATTGACTTTGGACTCGACTTGGACGTCTTTGACTTGGACTTGACTCAAGACTTGACCGGAAAGACTTGTGACTAACTTGTGACTTGCAAAGCAGTGACTTGGTCACACCTCTGAAAACCAGTTGCTTAATTGTAAAAAGTAACAAACATTGTTCTACATCATTATATTACTGTTTACATTTAAGCAGAAACCAGTTGACATAACTTGGTTAAAGCAACACTAAAGAGGTTTTAACACGTTAAGCTATTGTTTACAAAGTGAGTTTCAGTGATTAATGAGGTAGAAACTTTACCCACTTCAGATTGTACCACACTCTGCTGCCCGTTGATGACCACAAACTGTACTTGACAGTTTTGCGACGGGACAGTTCACTAGGTGGAGCACTCTACCTGCTTTGTGGCTGTTAGCTGTTTACTCACCGGTTGCTAATATAAAGGCTAGCAGTTAGCTTATCCACTTCACTGATCATCAATAAAATGCACAAGAAAAAAAATATTGCTGAGCCCGGAAATAAAAGTAAGAGAGTTATGTATTTGGAGGCTTTTTTTGCTAGTGGATTTGTAAGTAATACTATTTGTTGTTTCGCAGGGTGGATCTTTTTACTTTGTGGCTTATTTAGTATTAGTTTGCTTGCGTTAGCTCGTTGTTAGCACTAGCTACAGCAGGTTGCAGCAGGTTGCTTATGACAACCATAATTCTGCATTCAACCAGTAGGACATCTCATTTACACTGAAAGACAAAGTCTGTTGGATTTTCATTATTGAATCATGTACATTGGTTGCATGCAATTAAATTATGTTTTGGTTTAATAAATTCAATAATGCCAATCTGATCAATACAAGTAATTAGAACATGACCATTTCATGTTGTAAGAGCATGAAATGACCATGTTCTAATACCATGTATTTAACAGAATTCCCAAAATACATTGATATAATTTCGACAATCTCACTGAAGCTTTTTTCCCCCCAGTGTGTCAACCTGTAATCATTTGAAAAAAGGGCTTTGGTGAGGTTGTGGAAATGATATCAGTGTATTTAATGAATTCTGTATATGTTATTAGAACATGGATTTATCATGTTGGCATGATATTATTATATAATTTCATGCAACCGATATACATGATTCAATTATGTAATTCCAACAGACATTTTCTTTCAGTGTAGTGTTGCTTTAATTGAATTCAACATTTAATTTCTTACAGGGAAGTTTTTGTTTCTGTAAATAAGGCATGCTGAAGAAATATTTTGCTTTTCACTCTCCTTCCTTCAGTATGCAGCAGTAAGTGAACGGTTGGGTCGATTGAAAAGACAAACGTTTCAGGATGAATTGAGCAAACCACTGGTGTATTGTCAAATGAGTCCCTTCCTGAGCAGGTGAACAAGGGCTTTGTATTCAAGGACAGGACTGTGATGTTGGATGTATTACTCACGTTTATACACATCTGTTCATCTACTCAATAAGCAACTATTATTTATATTTTTCTCTTAGGGAAAATAATACTACACTGCAAGAAATTAAATGTTGAATTTACTCAACCAAGTCATGTCAACTGGTTTCACTAAACCTCATTGCAAAGAGTAATATATGTTCTTAGTTTTTAAGTTAAAAGCAGTGATGAGATGTAATGAAGTACAGATACTCTGTTACTGTGCTTATGTGCAATTTTTCTGTATCTGTGCTTAAGTAATTTTCTTGAGGTCTACTTTTTACTTTTACTTCACAAACATTTCTAAAAAGTTTCAAAAATCAAAGTATTTTAATTAGCGTTTTATCTGAGCACCACCCCACCTCCGTCAGCACCCTCATCCGCGCCAGACTGCAGTTCCAAAGGCAAAAGTACTTTAATGTTAGCTAAATACTTTTATTGTTTAACATTTGATATTGCATACTTTAATACTTTTACTTGAAGTCAAAGATTTCTTGGATTTTTTTCAACTTTTACCAAAGTAATTTTTTTACCCCTTTATCTGTACTTTTACTTAAGTTAAAAAAAATCAAGTAATTTTTACATCACTGGTTAAACTTACATGTTTATTATGCTTCACGTTTTAGCAACTAGTGGAACCAGTTGACATAACTTGGTTAAGTAAATTCAACATTGCATTTCTTGCAGTGTTGTGATGGGACTGTTCTGATGGTTGCTAATTTAGAGCTAAATATCAAAACACTCAAGGGCCTGTGAATGTGTGTGTGTGTACTTGAGTTTGTGTGTGATTTTGAGAGGGAGGTGGAGATGAGGTGGTCACAGTATCTTGTTTTCAATGTGAAATGCACTTTACTTTTCGGGATGAAAACGGCACAACCAATTAATTTTCTGCAAAACGAAACATATAAACGATAATCAACATGCACTAACTTAACTGAGATATTGTTAACAAACAGTTGTGTGAACGTGGTGTCTATTTTTCCAAGGCGTCATAGTTGTACTTTTTATTGCTTTGGTTAGTCCACTCTACTGAGAGATCTTGTTAATTTTGTATTAAAGACAAACATGTGCTGTGCATAAAACTCCTGCCTCCACTGATTTATCCCCCCCTTCCATCCTTACCGTGCGTGGCTCACTGCCCTGCTTTTTATCCACTCTTCTGTTTCCTTGGTAACCCCTTTCAAAGTGGTGCTGTTGCTATGGAAACTGAAGACTCAGAAGCAGGTATGTGTTGTCTGTGGATGCGAGTGGAACACTAAGGAGACGTGGTGGCTCTGCCGTGATCCTTCATTCATGATTTTATTTCTCTCCGGGGCAAAGTTTACAGAGCGAGTGCAAGTGGCTCAGTTATAATACTTATTTTTACAGCATATACTCCATCCATTAGCACAGCATTATGAACACCAGCACGTTGATCCGTGGCTTTAATCTGCCACTCTTCCAGTTATATTCAGCTTACAATATGATCTATGACATAGCATTTTAGTAAAAACATAAAAAAATGTATAGGTTATATCAAAAGGAAACATTTCTAATAATTCTAACACTCTCAAGCTTCAACTATATAGGAAAAAAAGCACCTTTAAACGTAGACTATAGTGTTATAACAGGTAGAGGAACATCCACTGGGGTATCATCATCTAGCTCATTGTTAAATGGTTTATAGTGGTCAGCATTACTGTTATATTACAAGTCTCTGTACAGCATCTTTTAACCATTTAGATTATTCAGCATTAGATTATCTGTCAGTGTGTCACAGTGAGGATTCTTCCAGGTGAGATTAACAGGGTGTGTTTCTACTCATGTGTGTCAGTAGTTTTCCTATGCTATGCTATGTGTGTGTGTGTGTTAATCCGACCAGTCGTTCTCCTCCAACTCCGAGTCGTCCTCAGAGTCGGAGTATTCTACAGCGATGCGTCGGGACAGAATGGTGGCCACGTCGTTTCCCACCGGCTCTCTCTTTGCCTGCTGCTCCTGTTGCTCCTGCACCTTCTTCAGCTGGATGCCTGGAAATGAAATATTGATAAAACATATTTAATGTCACGCTTTGCTGAGGTTACTAAACAGCATTTTCACTGTGCTATTTAAGTTTGGGATTACTCGCCTACCACTTTTTATACCAGAGTTTTGAACAAAGATCACATTATACTGAGAAAAGATGGAGGTCTGGCCAAAAACTGTACGTTTTTATAACATAAAACAAGCACTTGTTAAGCTACACTTAGTGCTTTTATCCCACTGGGTTTGACTTCCAGCAGAGAACTGTGGAAAACTTGTGCAACGTGTCCTACTGGTGGATGAGTTGTGTAAGATTGTTGCTGAAGGTTTTTCAAAGTGAACTGAGTTGGATCAGACTCTGGACTAAATCATTAAATGACAGAAAATCTCTCTTTTTCAAAACTTTTATAAGCTCCTTGTATTCATCATAAACTTTTATATTAATGAGTCAAAAACAAACAGTTTCTCTGCAGGATGCTCAAACTTACATTTAATGGCTTCAGATATGAAAAACACACCTTAAATATGTCTCATTTGTCCTTTTATTACAATATTTTCACTGAAAGTTGCCCAGGAACAAATATTTTCCCATAAATATTGATGTGAACACTTTCTAGCTCTTACCCATTCGTATAGCCGCCAGCAGATCGCTGCGAGCATCACTGATCGCCGTGTTCTCAGCCGGTGCCATGGACGACATCTTGTGGATTGTGGAGTGGGAGCCACCAGCTGGGATGAGTGGAGGAGGAGGACCAGGAGGAGGCGGAGCTGCCTGAACTCCAGATACAGGTGGAGGAGGTGGAGCGTACCCGCCGGCCACAGCCATCGGTCCGGGAGGCACCGGGCCACCAGGTGGTGAGGCAAAGGCCGTCTGAGCGGAAGGTATGAGGGGTGCAGGGGGAGGGGGAGGAGGACCGGTGTTGGCATAGCCGTCCATACTGTAGAGAGGGGACAACGTCAGAGCTGTGCTGTGACACTAGGTGGCAGTATTAGCCCATCTGAGTCAGTGAAGCCAGTGTTTACCTGTAGTCCACAGGTGGAAGAGACATGGGGCCACCGTTCATAACCTCAGCCGGAGGAGGCGGCAGAGGGACCTGGTGGTGGTGGTGGGAGCGGCCCAGCGTTCCCCCCTGATAGGCCATCATGGTCCTGCCTCTGCTGTCGTGTTCAGATCCTCCTCGAGCGACGTGCCCAGCAGCCATCTGGGCGGCCAGGACGCTGGGCGGCGGTCCTGAGTAGGTGTGGGCGTGGCCGGCGTGGTTTATACTGTTGGGGTAGTGGTGCTGATCCACACTGTGACCCCTGGTGAGGACATATGACCGCTGGTTAACAGCTGTTCGCCTTGCAATGGCCATAAGTAACTGCTCCTACCTACCTGTTCTCTGGAGACATGGACCCCTCGGAGGACGCTGCTCTGTCTCGGTGTATGGTGTGTCGATGGTCCGGCCTCAGCTCCTTATCCAGAGCCAGCATGTTCCACTCCTGCCGACGGTTCCGCGCCTTACGGACCTTCTTAACCTCCCTCTGCAGCGTCCCGTCCACACAACGCCTCTGCTCCTGCAACAAGGAGACAACAAAGTCTTTATTGACGTTTTCATGGACAAGTTTCACTGGAAGGAAACAGGAAGAAGATTAAAATGACATCATTAGACACATTAAAACTAAATCCCAGAACCTTCTGCTTCCTCTTCTCTTTTCTCTTGTCCTCAGTGTCTTGCAGCATCTTCTCCTTCCACAAGTCAAAGAAGTAGGATGGATCCGTGTAGAATTTGAGAGCTTCCTTGAGATCATCCCTTTAGAAAAAACACCAAGACTGTTCATCTGAATTCTGATATTTTATTTAAATGTGTTAATTAATGTAAACAACTCCTTTCAAGTCGAAGTGACCAACATGTGAAAGAACAAAAGAAAACCTGATAGAATGAAGAAAATATGTTTAAGAGTTTACTCAAAAACACATTATGGTCTGGTTTAATTGAACAGAATTAAGATTTGTGCAAAAATACTTTACATTTATATCAATTCATTGCATAAAATTAATCAAAATGTAAATATTTGTTATGAATATGAGTGAAAATGTAAAAATATTAAAAGTAAAAAGTTGCATTTTTCAGTAAGCACATAAAACCAAAATGCACAATTGAAAGGAAATCTCCATTATTATAAAAGACTATTAATTCTGATTTCTCTGAAAGACCACCGGCACCGACCTGTAGGGTGTGAGGATAGTGAGAGGAGGAGGCTTGTCGCTCAGATTGTACATCTCTTTGACAGGATTCGGCACGCTGCTCTTGGACACCACCTGCTGGTCCTGAATGGTGGAGCTCTTAAAGGCCTTCCTCATGTTGATGTCTTGCAGAGAAACTGAAAGCAAAGAGAGAAACAGATGAGGAATATGGAACAATCAGCTGTCCTACGGTCCGTTTCCACCCACCTTCCTCCACAGTGGAGTCCAGCTGAGTGACTTTGATGGCGAGCCGGTCGATGCGGTCCTGCAGAGAGTTGGCTCGGTGGTAGAAGTTGTTGGCCTCGTTAAACAGCTCGCCGAATATGTCCTCCGCGTGTTTACCTGAAAGAGACGAGCAAAAAGACAAAGGGATGAGACACAGAAGACAAACAAGAGACGGTATCTTTATCAAGTAGATCTCCACAGGGACTGAAGCCTGATCAATAAAGTGATAATGTGACACAAAACGATCATATGACCCCGCATAAGAAGTTTTCTTGTGAATAATTTAACATTAGCTTTATATAACCCCCCTCCGAATCGAGCTATGTTTGTCTTGACCAAGTGACCAAAAGAAGCTGTATTAAGTCTCCAGTCACTTTATATTTTAGGATTTTTAAATCCGACAGATGCAGATGGTGATTCTGTGATTACTTCAGGGTCATTTCTGGGAGAGGTTAACTGACCCTAACCCTTTCAGGACATTGCACAGACGTCAGCCTATTGTGAGTGATGTCACTGGTCAGCGACAACAGTGTCCACTGGTCGGCATAGTTTAATCCATTCAGAGGGCCGGGAGATTGCAGCTGTGTGATTTAAAAAGTGACGTTCAATGACCAGAAGAAGCATAGTTTTTTATGGTGCTCTGTGACACAACAAAGCTCCATGATACATCGTTGGGGGATTTCTACTTTGTATTTTGGTGATGGGAGTTTAGTAGCGATGACTTTTAAAGCAGCGCAAACGGTGCTTCGTAGCTTTTGCTTCCCTTCTGCTTCACCAGCCACTCTTCTAATTTTACTAATGCCGGTTGTTTTGGACGACGTCTGCTGATGTCATTTCCTACTGAGTTACAACCAATCAGCGTGAGTTAACCAAATGTTCCACTCGGCGACCTCACCGGGCCTTTTCAATTACCTACCCCTGTTCAGACACTCCAAAGGTTCCGTAAAACAGCCCGTGTGGCGGGCCTGGAGAAGTGGAGACACGAGCATGCCAGGAATTCCCAGTAAATATACCCTGAAGTTCCGATAGTAGAAACACACAAGATGTCTCTCCTCTGGGAAAAGAAAAGTAATCTGGGGAGGAAGTAGCCTACAAGCGTTAAATAACTATTTTATTCTGGATTTAAAGAAAAATCCAGAGTTTTTGTGAAAGGGCACCATCTAGAGGTGGAAAAATGTATTGCAGCTTAAAGTAGCTGCCCATATTTTTCTTTTATCTGATGGCACCATCTAGAGGCTGACAAGCATATCACATCATGACCTACTTTTTTCTACATTTCTATAAGGCTGAAAGCAACTCCTCCCATTTATGAATGTGCACCTCTAGCCAACAAAGCAGAGCTAAAACACAATGTTTACAGTTATTATGTTCATGTTACGTGACTTACTAGTCCACGAGTAAGGTCGCCAACTCTGCATCAACCAGGGTACATACTTAAACGATCAAGCACTCTCTGTGATTAACGCCTGTACTGTAAGCGGAGTCTAAACGCTATTGGTTAGTGCTGACCATGGGACGGGGGCAGGCTTAGCAAAAAAAAAAAAAAAAAAAAGACGTATTTCCTACATTATATCACAGTAAGACAATCACTAAAACATACATAATTCCTGAAAGGGGGAAAACCCCAAATTGCTGCTTTAATGAGTCAGGAGTTACACAAGGAACATTTTTTACTACAAATAAATCTAAATAATCAGATACAACAACAAAAACAAACAAAAATAGTGTCTGAATGGCTCTAATAACTTTTTCTGTGTAGAACACAGAGTCCTTTGTTGTATTCAAGGCTATTTCTGTCTCCCCTGCTGACAGGATGGGCAGCGGGAAAAACGTTTAGAGGAAGGAAGAATCACGGATCCGGCACGCTGAGCCCATCAACTCTGGCCTCTCATGGCCAACACGTGTGCACATAAACATGCACCAGTGTATGTAGTGTGTACATTTCTTCCATTTGGGCCTGTGCAGGCATTTATATTTAACTCACACAGCTGTTGTGGAGAAGCCAACTCCCACTGCAGGAACGTGACACAATAAGATCCAGACAGAATCGATACGACTAAAATAAATAAATAAGTAAACTGCAATCTGGTTTTAATTGAACAGCAGCTGCTGATGAGGATGAAGGACACGTGAACGGAAGATTGATGGTCCATTACATTTTCAGTAAAAAAAAAAAAAAAAAAAAAAAAGCCAACAGCTCTCACACACACGTACACACACCCTAACACACATACAGTAGAAGTGCACAGTCACATGTCCATGGCCAGGCCGATAAGTTCAGTTTAGCTCCACTGTCTGAAAGGATTACATTTCATCGCTCCATGTACCAGTGTGTGGGGCGGCTGTAAGCCCTTTGACCCCAGGACTGTAACCATGACAACCCCCAAATCAATTACAGCTTTGGGATTAACGATGAAAGCATGCGATCTGCTGCAAAAAGGGCTACACACAGTTTAGATGGCATCATCACACACACCCTGGTGGTGTGTAGTTTAGATCTGTTTCTATTTGAAGTTTCTGCCAAATTTAGAGCTTTTTATAGTTTGTTTACTGGAAAGACTCTGTGTGCGTGTGTGTGTGTGTGGTGTGTGGTGTGTGGTGTGTGTGTGTGTGTGTGCGTGTGCGTGTGCGTGTGTGTGTGTGTGTGTGTGTGTGTGTGTGTGTGTGTACTTGTCTATACATCAAAGTGAAGACCAATGACAGCTCTACTTGCAAACTGAGGACATTAGTACCAAAGTGAGGACATTTTGCTGGTCGTCACTTTGGGACGATGTTACAGAGCTGTACTTGTTAGTTTTAGATGTAAGGTGTGAATTGAGTTTTAGTTAAGGTTAGGGTTAGGAATAGACTGGTTATGGTTAGAGTTATGGTTAAGGTTAGGCACAATCCAGTCACTAAATTAATGGAAGTCAATGACCACACAACGACTGCTAGACGAGGATGTGTGTGTGTGTGTGTGTGTGTGTGTGTGTGTGTGCGCGCATCTTACTAAGGCTGCTGAGTTGATGGATGATGGCAGACAGTGTGTTATTCATCACACACTCCAGCTCGCTGCCGATGCCCTCGGGCAGCGCTCCTCGGCAGAGGTGACGCGGATCGATGTTCCTCTTCACCAGCGGCATGGCGAGGCCTCACACCCACACGAACTGTACGGCAAGGACCACACACACGCAGATTTAGCTAGTCAGCATCTAATTTGTCTAAATGTTAATGAGCAAGACATCAATTACACTCCTAATTACTTTAATGATTAATGCAGTGGTTTATAAAGTTGAAGTAAGGCATCCTCTTAATACTCAAGAGACAAACCGACTCATTAAACCCAAAGAGCAGCAGCTCACATGTTATCAACAAGATGCTTGATATTAAAAGTGGTACCTCACTGAAAAAACATTTTTTTATTATCTGATTATAATTGGCTGAACATGAAAATAGTCTCCTACACCTATCTCCTACTTCTGATAGAAAATAGACAGTGAAACTCTAGGATCTGAAAAGCCTGACTGATCTATGTCACACTTTCACTTAGTGTTCATAAACTCCCCCATTTTGACTCACAACAGGGAAGGCTGTTGTTGGTTTAGCGTCCAGGAGAGAGCACGGAACCACTTGGCTAGTAGAAGCTAACTGTTAGCATTAGCAACTCCACCACACAGCAGAACTCTTCCAGGCTTGGGTTATGTGTGGAGATTAAACATCAATGTTGCAAAGCAAACAGAGTCAGTGGTAGAGCTGTGTTGCTGTTAGCCAATCATGTCTAAATATCAGGATATAAGACACCAGAACTTCAGATCAGAGCTCATCTCTGATCTGGCTCACTGCTAGTCCCTGGAGATGGTGCACCAGCACACACCCCTCGAGTACAAAAGTTATGAAGGCAAACATGGCTGGAATCTCACCGTATTGACTCATTTAGTTTCTGAGGTTTTTTGGTCACTGCAGCTCTCTGTACCTGTTTCCCGATTACGCGGGGGAGGGGTTTGGCTCGTCTCTCCACACAAGCAGGATAAACAGAACATCGACAACTGCCACTGTGAAAAGGTTCACTAAAACTCAGGGATTTCCCGATACAACTTTTTCACTTCCGATATGATACCGATATTACAGCCTTCAGTATTATTGACCGATATCGATCTAATACAAAATTGGCTCAAATTAGGGCTGCGCAATATATCGAAAATAGATCGTTATCGCAATATCAGCATGCACAATATGCATATCGCAAAAAACAGATAAATATCACAATGAATGGTCAGCTCAAATGTTTGCTACACATAATGCATTCTGTCAATCAAATGGAGGCATGATATTTTTTTAACAAATCAAATAGACCTCTTCACCCATTTGGCCAATTGGGTGGGTACTCTTAGGTTAGATGCCCGCCCTGACACTTAATTTTGATGATTAGCAAACACCTGAGTTAGCTTTGTTCTGCTCTTTCTGTTGATTCAACCTTTCCCGGGATCCAATGATTGCCTTTTCTTGTTCATTTTCATTTTCCCTTTCCTCACATCTTTTGCCTTTCTCATTTTTATGATTTTTAGTCATTTTTTAATTGCTTTATTTTTGATTGTTTTTGTTCCTGAGTTCATTTTTTAATTATCACAAGTAATATCGTCATCGCAATATTAATCACTGTTATCGCATATCGCAGGTTTTCCTAATATCGTGCAGCCCTAGCACAAATCATACATGTACCTATTTCGTAGTGTGGAATGTATGAAAGGCTTGATCAAGTGATATTACTCAATCGGAGGACAAGAACCAGTAAGTATGAAAAAAAAGACTTTTTTTGTAACCATTGGTCACAAAAATGTGAACCTTAACAGACTGCTTGGATCAGAGATTTTTGATGCAGTCCGATATAATCTGATACAGCAGGGATGCACGGTATATCAACATCAATATCGGTCTCAGCCAATGTTAGTCACTTTTAAACATATCGTATTGGTCCAATAAATAAAACTGGGCCGATATTAGCAAATATTTTTTCCATCTTGTTGCCATTTGTTTATCTGTTTCAGAGGATGGCATCATCACACACACCCTGGGGGGGGGGGGGGGGGGGGGGGGCGTGTATTTGTTTAGTCAAGTGACAGTGATTGTAATCATCTCAGAAGCGTAAATGTGTGTACTCAATAACATAAATTCAGCTTTAATAATTTTAATTCTGTATCAAATCTGCTGATTTTAAAAACATTAATATCAGTATATCAGTATCTGCAAATATCGGTTATCGGCCATAACAGTGATATTAACATCGGATATCGGTATCGGCCCAAATATTTCAAATCAGTGCATCGCTACGACACAGTGTTTTTGGGCCAATATTGAATTACTTCCGATGTCGATATGGGAACAAGACATCCCTACTAAAACATAAAAAAACGTCCCCAAACAAATAAAAACCACAAAGCCAAATGAGATTCATTAAAGGTACAATGTTGACTCAGAGGTTTCCTGATCAAGCAGACACGTGACAATACATGTAATGACCACTTAGAAATGGAGCAAGCTAACAGCTAGTGGTAGCTGTGCCTGCTAACTTTAGAAATTCACTGGTTGTACATTTAAATCTATATAAATGTTACTGAGTCATCTTGTTTCTTGCTTGAAATTCTATCAATATTTTAAAAATATCAACATATCGCCCAGCCCTAGTTTAAGAAATTAAATAAAAAAAAAACACAACAATTATGCCAAATGCAAGTAAAATGATTCACAGAGGGACAAGGTCAACCTAGACATACTCCACCACCACTACCTCACCAAGGGATCACTGTAAAAGACCACAACTTATCCTAATGTTTTCACTTTCATGCAGTATGAAACTAAGTGAGGGTGGGCGGTTGACCAGAGCCTTGTGAGAGAAAACCAACAAGGTGCCAACGCCAGAAGACTGCTGGCGACCAGCAGAGAGATTAAAGCATTAGAGGAAGATTCAGCATGCCAACTAATCCCAGGCCAGATTGTCACAGGCCCAGCTGGAAAACTGACACAACCAGAGATTATGGTTGAGACTAAAAATAATGAGAGGAAAATTTTAATCAGCCAGGCCAAACAAAAAAAGTAAGCTTTATAACTTTTCCCCAATACTCACACCCCCCACACCCTACAGCTCTGATTCAATCTGATCAGACACTTTTTAAACTTTCTACAGTTCAAAGGACATTAGACATTTACACAGGGAGCATCAGAGAAACCCTCTTATCAGAGACACTTCCTGCTTCCTGTTTTTGAAGTGTGAGTCTGACTCCTGTTTCCTGGTCCAACCAATGTCACATTGCTCCATCCTGTCCAAACACTTAGCCAGAACAATACATCTATGGCTCATAAAGCATCCAGAAGAACGGACAGGAACACCCATTTCCAATCAGAATGTTCTCGCGGGTAGTTCAGCTAAGAAACGGGGGAAAAAGCAGGTTGGAGAGACACGGGAGACCTGGCGGTCTGACAGAAGGCTAACAATAGCACACAGGTACATTTGACAAAAACTGGAATAAATATGATTTCTTGTTAACTCAACAAAACTATAAATTATTGACTGTAAGTAGAAACGATGCATAATTTGAGACTGAATTGCAAAAATAAGTTAAAACCTAATCCCAGCAGGAAACCACAGCATCCCTGTGTCATCACAACTGAAAAGAGACACTTCTGTTCATCCTCAAGCCAATTTCCACCATCAGTCTTCTGTGGCTCGCTCTCTCTTAGCTGGAGACACAACTCTAAAGCCCAGCAGCATCCTGACAACAAGGGACAACTTAGTGTAAAATTACACCATCATGCGTTGCCGCTGAGGACAACAAACACAGCCAGCAAAGACCGGATTGTCCCCAAAAACAAAAGTGTTTAAATGTTGTTATAAACACTTTGTAAACACTGAGCTTTCTGTTGTGCTGAAATGAGGCGATGCAAATGAGAAGATTGCATGTTTTTGCTGGCACCGTCTGGCTTGCATGACAATCACACCGATGAGGCGAAATAATGAGGGAGCTGAGGGGCGACATGCAGGCAGGGAGGGAAGAGAGACGGGCCGTGTGAAAGGCAAAAGGAGGGAGGATGAATGAGGATAAGAGTGTGACAGATGAGATACAGTGAATACGACAGTGTGAGTGTGTGTGTGTGCGCGTGTGTAAAATGCGCTGCGAAGCAGATGTGTGTGCGTTAATGGGAAAAAGAGAGGATCTGGTTGGGGGAAGGGTAAGAACAGGAACCTCGGGGAAGCCACTGAAAGGTTCCTGGGACAATAGAGCTCCGTTCACACAGCAACAGCCCCAGCTCTCCCATGAATACACCCTCGTCTCTCCTTAAGGGCCCCTTTACTAATAAAGCAATGAAAGCAGAAGCTGTGGACCTCTCCTCCTTCATCCACCACTTACTCAGACAGGAAGAGATGATGCATGCTTTAATTATTACAACACAACATGCACAGTCAGCCAAACAAACGTCCAACAACACACCAGGTTGCCCCATGTGTGAACGGACCCCATCAGCTGCTGGGAAAGAGCCCTTTGATCCTCAGGGATGCCATGGAGGAGACCTTACTACAGATGTGAGAACTCCATTAAGTTTTAAAAGGGAAGGGTCATTATTAATTTATTCTCTGAGTACAGCTTCGTGTATTTCTTTCTTTAATTATTTTTGCTGGTTTCTGATGTTGTGAATAATGCATCCTGGATTACGCCAGGTCACACTGCCCTAAATATAATGTTAAAGATCTACCGTGAGTCTGTTCTCTCCATAAATATCCAGGTGGTCCAAAATTGTTCCAAAACACATGATGCAATCTGGGTTAAACATGTTGGATAAAGAAAAGACTACATCATTTTTTTATCCTGCCAACAAAACACTTGTTAGGGATGGGTTATAATCTTATAATACTATCAAACAAATGTTTGTATTAAGATTTTGGAGTGATGTTTAAGGATATGATTACTTAGAGATGTTTTAAATGAGATTGTTTAATTTATTTATTGTCATTTGGTGGAACAACCATTGAAAATATTAGCATCGTAAAGCTTGACAGCTGACCTCGAAGCTGCATCTGTCACGTAGATCTTCTGGATTATTTCTGGGAACATGTCTGACTTTTTAATACAAACATGTTCCAAAGGTGTTATAATCCTAATGGATAAAATAATCTGATTTTATTTTCATCTAAGAGAAATTATTCACAAGAAAACACAAAAAAAGACTGGTTTGCTTATTTTTGAGTAAATTCAGTAAGAAAAGTTTTTATTTTAAGGCTGTTAGTTAAATAAATAAAGGTGAATATTAAGGACTTCTTATATTTAGTGTCTGTGTGTGCCTTTTGACAGTTTAAAGGTGCAGTATGTAAGAAAATAGTGAGAATTTTACAGTAAGAAAATCCCAAAAGAGTCTGGTGTTTCAGTCATTTTGGAAGGGAGGTTATACTGAAACATATTTCATATCCAGCTGGCTCTGGGTATTGTGAGTTTTCTCCTTTCAAAACAAAGGAAGGAGGGATGTAACGACTGTTTACCAACAGTGAGTGTGGGGTTGCCTTGTCTCCTGCGAGCTAATACTGTATCGTAGACAATTGTGATTTCATGACGGCTGGCAAAAAGCTTCAGAGTTGTTTAAAGTGTAAATAACCAAATTTTACCACAAGATGTATTTTTTACTTCATTTCTACATAATACACATTTAAGCTACTAAAAACACAATTAACCTGAGATGAGCTCCAAACAAGTGAGTTTTAGGCATTAATAATCAACTCCTAATAATACAAGTTGGTTTAAAAGATATTTCAACATTTAATAATTTATTTTCAATTTTGATAAACTAAATATTGTATTTGAGGGAAGCACTGTTAAAGATTTATGCATTAAAAATAACAGTGCGCGAACTATCTCTCTCTCTCACACACACACACACACACACACACACACACACACACACACACACACACACACACACACACACACACACACACAGGCGTAAATTTATGATAACCGAGATCAATCACTGTTCCGCACCGTCGCTTCCCGTTAACGATGGACTGACCCACATCTGCTCATCCCTGCCTCTCTCTACTTTCCCACCATCCCAATCCAACATTAAACAACCCCTTTTCGGTTTGAGCGTTTCAAAATCAGCAGTACACTTCCAGTATTTATTTACCGGTTAAGAGAAGCTTTTAAGTACCGCCCAAATATCAATAATATCCAGCATTTCAGCATAGAGTATTATCCTCCACTGGGGGTCCACTCTACTGACCAGTTGGTTAGCTAGCTTGTGTCCACTATTCGACTACTTAGTTCGGACAAATAAGAAGAGTCTAAATAAACACCCACAAAAATGTCACAGTTATGAAAAATTATTTTACTTCTTGTCATTAAAAGTACTACGAGGTCCTCACCAGTACTTGAAATATTAGAAGAAATCAGTCCGTCCGTATGTCCCGTTAGACACTCCTATTAGCTCTGCCATCCTGTATCCCTCCAGCCCGTCTGCTTACTCCAGGGAAAATCCTTTGACGAGGACACGCCCAATAGATTCCCCAACCAATCGTATCGTCGCACGGGGGATGGAACCCATGATTGGCATTATTATCAACGAATGAACTTCTGTAAAGAGATGACTGACAAGGAACCTCCCTACAACGTAAAGCCTTTTGCGAATGGAAGGGGCGGGCTAAGAGTTGGGCGTTGCTGAAGGACTTCCCATCATTTAGACAGGTCTCAAATGATAATACTGCTGTTAAAAAGAAAAACAGATCATTATTTGTTAGAAATGCATTTAATTACAAATTAATGTTGAAATTAAAGGAAACGTGACTGCAATAACAATATTGCTATAAAGGGCTATACAGGGCTGAACTCTTAGTGACTAGTTGGTTTTTACCTTTTGATTATGTCCTTTGATGTATGTTTTTGTGTTCAGCACTTTGGTCCTGTGGGTGTTTTAAGTGCTATATAAATAAAGATGGTATGGGATGACTAATGGGATACTGGGTCCTCAAAAGGAATTTAGTATAGCATTTTATCCCATTTTCAAGTTGCTGATCTGATTACAGTAAATATTTTTAAATGGACATTACAGCACAAAACTATGTGTGCTAAATTATGCAACATAATTTCTATAAGCATTATTTTTTCAATACATGTACTTATTGACACGTTTTATATAAAAATGTGTATTATACTGTAAAATATGTCTTATTGTAAAACAATAACAGAGTAAAAGAAATGATGAATGACAAAATGCACTGAAATTGGTCCAAAATTGATGTTTCCACTTTTATTGTCAGGATACTTGTTTCATGTAAAATATTTAAATGCAATACAGTACAATGCATGTTCCATCTGCCATCCTCCATACGATTAGTTGGTTTTGTCGTCATGTTGTAAGGCTTACTCACAGTACACAGCAACTCACACACTCTGCTGTGTTACGCTTGTCATGAAAACAAAATCATGACAATAGATTAAATTAGAAACTACTAAAATCCTTACTCTGTCCTTTCTGAACAAAAAAAGCCTCCATCCCACAGCTGTGAGAGATCAAAAATCTCCCAGCCTGCTTTGCCGCAGTTCAGTCCTCAGCGGAGGCCCCTTACACACAAAAAAACAAAACAAATAGGAGGACTGAGAATCTGTTAACGTGGGCAGTCACGTAGCAGCTTTCGTCTCATCCAAGTTTTGACGGGACGAGGGGAACTGAAGCAGAGGAAAGGAGATGGCTCGTCTGTATTTTGCCTGATTAATGGAATATTTTATTTTTATCCTCTTGATCTGCCTTTCACCCATGAGGATTTGCTTTACGCTGTACTGGGATTGTGTTGTCTGACACTGGTGGAGTTGTTTTGTCTCTCTGAACTACCAGATCACAGCAGAGTGCCTTCAGAAGGTAGGGTGTGGGGTGTTGCACCATCCCCACATCCTTCAGTACATTCGTTCAGGCGGTCACAGAAATGGCTGTGTGAGTGTGTGTTCAGATTAGAAATGTGTGTGTTTATTTGTGGGAGGGGTGTTTCAGTAGCGGTGGGACTGGTGGGAGTACTGGGGTGGTTGTTGGGAGGTAGAGGAGTATCCCATGCTGCTTTGGGGCAGTGATGTGCTTGGTCCAGGATTCTGGTAGGCAGCATGTGGATTAGAGCGCTGCATGAACAACAACAACAACAACAACAAAAAAAAGCTTTGTCAGTAAAAACTTCAAATTTCTTCTGTTTTCATCAGCAATTAGTTTCTTTATTTAGCATTTAGGACACAAGCTGTTCTGTTTGTGTGTCCAGATGAGCAGCAGAAAAGCTCACCTGGTAGTCTGAAGTCATAATGAGGCCACCTGAGGTAGTGGTGGGAGGGACAACCCGCACCTTCTTTGCAGGTGGGCCCTGGGTGTGGCTATTTTCTGGGTTGCCAGTGTGCCCCGCCCCGTTTGTGTGGTTGTTTCCCTGTTGCTGCTGCTGGTTCTTCTAAAACACCCAACAACAAAACAATCTAAACAATACTGTACATGTACTACAACATTTTAGTTTCTCATTTTTGCTTTGACAGGGGTGCTCCAAGGGGTGGCCAGGGATGGGGGGCCATGGCCACACCCTGGTAAATTGGTGGCCACCCCACTGCCCCCCACCAGGGAAGACCACCCCCCCACCTTCCCTAATAAATCACAATCATGTTCACACAAATTGTACATTCATCTGTTTTTAATTAGGACATACATTTTTACACTAACAAATAAATGTATTCTACTAAAAAAAAATTATCACAGCTTATATACTACGTATCCCATTGAGGCTCACTATATTTTTTCAAAAATATGTTCAAAAAGGTTTTGTTCAAACGACAACAGGCAAATTTTAAACTTAAAATTATAAAACAGCAAAATTTAAAACAAAAGCGGAAAAAAACTATGAACCTCTTAAATGTTTGTGTTCCTCAACTCTGAGGTAAATATGACGGACGCATAGGCCTTTAGTTCTAAATGAAAGATAACAAAGAAGCAATCGACAGCCACAGGGACCAATTTGGTGCCACCCCAAATTTATACTGCCCGCCCATGAGGATTATCTACGTACACCACTGCTTTTTGATTCAAATGCATTCATAAAATAAGTTTGTAAAGTAAATTTTACTTTGTCTCCTTTGTCCTCTGGCTCCTCCTCTGTCAAGAACTCTCTCTTGGGGTAGGGAATCTGACAACCTGCAAACACACTAGAAAAATGCAAAAACACCTCATCAACCTGTTCAGGAGTCTCCTCCGGCACGTTAGCCGCGCTAAAAGCCAGAACTAAATCTGCTGCAGCTCACTCAGACGTGGGAAGAGGCTCTTCTAAAAAGTACGGGTCCTGCATTGCCTGCTCCGATGTGATTCTACGGATGGGGTCCATGGTCAATAGTTTTTGCAGCTGCAATCAATAACGTGATTTTAATGTCAAACAAAAAGCCGTACCAGATATATCAGGCAGAGAAAGACTAAATCAAAAGCGCTTCAACTCACCAAGTGGAATGCTTTACTGTCTGGTTTAACTTTATGTTTTTCCATGTACTTTATAAGGCTGCAGTTTGTGTATCTGTATAAAAACAGGAGCAAACTATGAAGTGTGTGTAATTTTTGTGTATTAAGATATACTTTGCTTTGTTTTGATCTTAAAACAAATAAAAAACAGGACACAAGTGGTCTGCAGACTCACGTGTTCCTTCTGAAATCTTTCATCAGTGTGGAGTGCTCTGGCATCTTTTTGATGTCTTCCCAGTCTTTATCTGTTAGACCAAGGCAACAAAGGGTTAGGACGAAGGATCATTTATCTTTAAAGAAATTAAAAAATTATTTTTCCAAAGCAACTTACAATTAAACAACATTTCTTTCATTTTTACACCAATTAGCTTTGGTTTTCTACTTAAACTCTGCAAATTTGCCCAAATTTCTGCAGAAACCAAAGTGATCCTTCTAACTGACTGGTGAATTAAATAAATAGAGCGGCAGAGACGAGAAAAGAAAAAAGGAAAAGTGAAGCAGATTTTGTGAACTGGAAAGTATCGGTCCAAATGTAGGCCTGCAAGCAACCATCTCTAGGTTTGTGACTTGTATAAAGTCTGTGGTTTGATGTCCGGCGTCTACAGACCACATTAATACATTCAAAAACAGAGCAAGTAAAGACCGAGAAAATAATGCGTTTCATCACATTTCCTTCCAGAACATCGTAGCTGGAAAAATCTTGTGTAACACCAACACATTAACAGTCTCACCAGCAGGGAAGCCCATAACATTAAAGATTCGGTCCAGCTGGTCGTGGTGGTATGGGTTGCTGGTCTTGATGTCCTCCTGACGACAATGGAATATGGGCTCAGACGTTAGCAGCTCTGCAAAAATACAGCCAATCGCCCAGATGTCTGGGAGAAACGCACAGCACGTGCTGACATAAGTCAAAGCCACACCAATAAAAAACACGTGCAGAGCAGAAGTGGAAAAGGGTTTCACCGATGGCTTTGGTGTAGTGCCGAGCCCCCAGCAGCAGCTCAGGTGCTCTGTACCAGAACGTGACCACGACGGGGTCGAGATCAGCTAAAGGCTTCAGTGGTGAATTGAAGAGACGAGCAAACCCCATATCCGCTACAAAACAACAACGTGTGTTAGTTTATAAAGTAAAACTTTACTTAAGAAATGGACACGATACACACCGATCTTCACTCTACCCCTTTCGGGACCTTCTCCCATCACTAAAATGTTTGCTGGTTTCTGATGATGACAAACAGAAAGATAACAAAGATTTAGGAACAGCAGCTCACCGTTAAGACCACAGAAGAGCAAGAAAACAGCACAGCAAGAAAGATCCAATCTAAACTAATTGTTGCTGCCCTCTAGTGGGCAAATTAATAACTTGTATTCTATTGTCTATTTTAAACTTCATGAAAGAGATGAGTATAATAAATGATACTGTTAAGAAATACCAACATTCAATTTAAAGTTAAAACAACTTAATACAAAGTTCAATCTTTTTACTTCCCTTCTACCCAAAGCCCCCTTTTGCCCCAAACCCTCTCACCAGGTCCCTGTGGAGGACCCAGTTGGCGTGGAGGTAATGGATGCCATCCAGAATCTGGTAGAGCAAAGACTTGACCATTCCTCTGGGTAGCTGAAGAGGCTTCTTGTTGGCTTTGGACGCTCTGTGAAACTTAATAATGTGCTGTGGGAAAAGGAGAGAATAATCACCGTGAGGCCTGCAAGCCTGATCTCCAATTTAAGATGGGCTGATGTTCTCAGCCATATGGTTTCACTTCTGTCAATGGACACAGAGTGCTGCAGCTCTGTGGTAGAAAGCAGTATTTAACTCTGCTCTGATATTGTTCCAGTTGTAAGTGTAGACTTGGATAAAAACGGAGGTTTAACCACCAAATGTGGAACACCATTTGGAGCCCAAGTTGTCCAATTAGGTGCATTAATTAAAAATTGAGAAGAAATTTGCAGCTGTGGGGTGTGCTTTTGTTTGAAATGGAGGAAATTAAACACCTACAGACATTATCTCTAACAACAAACAAGGTTGTGTGTGATATCCTTAAAGAGTTGGGTTATGAAGCTCCAGTTTTAAGTTTGCGTTTTTACCCAAAGATCATGTTCCGCGTAATCGAAGAGCAGCCACACTTTACGGTCGGCGTGCGACAGAAAAACCTTCTGCAGCGAGATGACGTTGGGATGTTTCAGCTCCCGCAACAGCTGCAACACAGGAAAACATTCAGAGGAACAATCTCAAGACAGAAACGATCAATCAGTGAGCCAAACTGCAAAAATATTGTAAATAATGGCATTATTATTTTTAATAATGGCAAGGAATTTTCAGCAGTTATAAAGAAACTGAGTATCACCCCATAAAATTATCTTTAATATGAAGATATGTCCACTAATACACTATACAAACCTCACTTTTAGCATATTTTGTGCTGCTATGGGGGTCTCTTAGCCTGGCAAGCCAGACTAAATAAATGTATTATTTAGTCTGGCAACGCTCCATTGAGTGCGTTTACATGCAGCCAGTAACCCTTTTAAAACCCAAATATTCACAATAACCCGGTTCCGCAGGTCCTTGTAAACACCGCCAAAAACCTGGATATGCTCATAAACGGGTTTTTAAAAACCCGGTTACTACACCTGGGGTAACCCTTTTCTAACCCGAATGTTTGGTCGTGTAAACGCATACCGGGATATCCCCTTCAAAGCGTGTGTTCTGCGCATGCTCTGTTCGCAAGGAATCTTGGTCTTTTGAGTAGCGAGACGTCTTGTATGCGCCAGAACACCGGAAGTAAACAACAAGTTGGGAGCAACATGGCGAGTCGCGGCACAGCACCACACTTTGAGTGACGAGGAAACTAAAGCGCAAACAAACGCGGTCACTATCTCTTCCGAACTGGGAAATATGTTGTTGTTTTCACGGATACCGGAACAAGAAGAACCGGAAATGACGCATATTGCGTCTGGACGTAGTCCATACGTCCTGACGCTACCCCAACGTCCGCATTTAAATCGGGTTATGCAAGTTAGAGGTAACTCTTTCTATTTATGCTTGTAAACGGGTTATTCTGATCAACTCAGAAACCCGAATCCCGACCTTAACCCGATCATAACCCGGATATTGGCTGCATGTAAACGTAGTCATTGACGGCTCTCGGTTGTGGGGCGGGTTCTACCGTTGTCTTTCAAATGATCTCTGCATTCCACTGGACAATGAATGTGACATACTCTTGTTTCACTCTGTTGCATCATCCCACCCACCAGGCATATAGAGTGCCCTGATTGGCCCATAAAGCGGATGAAGCTCTGTGATTTGTTCACTAAGCAGATAGAGCACTATGATTGGCCCACCATTATGGACCAATCACAGCTCTTTATGTGTTTGAAACCCCTCTAGAGAGCTGTGATTGGCTAGCCAGAGTCCTGGTAGGAGCTGCGGAGGTTCCAATGGAGCGTGCCTAGACCAAACTTTGCAAAGCAAGAATTTGGTCTAGTTCACTAGGCTAGGGGTCTCTATTAACACTAAAAATGTGAAAAGAAATCCGTTGCCTTTCAGTGTTTGGTTTTAGAAATTATGAGCTTAAAACAAGCCGTTTCAAACATTCCCAGTTTGTGATGTCACAGTTGGTAAAATTAGCACCGAACCACCTTTGGTGCAAGAGAGAGCTGCTGCTGGAGGATCAGCAGCTCTACTCCGAGCCCCTCCCTGATATCTGAGCTTCTCAGCCTATAGCAGCCTGACAGGGGGTGCATGGGCATGGCCAGCACCAGCTTGTTTTCTGAAAGGGCTCATTCTGGAAGGAATTGAAAAACTGCTTATATTACTTTACGTGAGAGGAATTTAGTACAAATAACTTCTTAAACGTGTTTTGCATCAAGAACTTTTATAACTTAAGTCGTCATGTGTCTCCTTTAGACTGCGGAACGATGGACAGGTTAATTTCAAACTAGCTCCCACACTTGGGAATGACACGATCTGCTCCTCGCAGACCAAACAAAAGAAAAAACAAGCAGCTCTTACTGCAATCTCTCGGCAGGCTGACATGGAGATGCCAGTGCCTTCAATCTGCTTGAGGGCGTAGTCCTTATCATCCTTCCTACAAACACAGAAAAAGAGGCAGAGCAACATCAACAACAGACAAGGCTGCAGGCCCCCAGAGAGCAGGCTGCACAGCAACAGAAGAAGGCATGGAAGAGGAGGAGGGGGCACTTGACAGCTGGCATGGGGACTCAAGAGAAAAAGTTGCATTACCTCCAGATTTGTGTAATCAAGCTCACCTCAGAGACTCTAAACAATAAGAAAGGGGAGAGAAAGCAGACGCTGTCTGGCAGCAGGTAAAGGACAGAGTACTGGGACTGGCTCGAGTCGCACTTGAATGCAACCACTCAAACTTCCCTAAATCATTTCATAAACCCCAGATTCCTCAGTCCAAAGGTGGCAGCATAACTTAGTTAATGGACTCTCATGAACAACACAAACATCTTTTAGGTGTGTGGCTCCAGCTGGTATGAAGTTCTAGGACTCAGATGGGCTTAAAGATATTGTATTAGAACGTTTTAGAAAGTAAGGCGATGCCAGCAACGTTTTAACAGCTGAACCCTGAAACCAAAAATGCCACTGTTGCATTTTCTCCTCGCTTTTGATTTCAGGCCACTTTTCCGTCACAAATTTTTAAAAGTCACAACATATTGGGGCAAATTTGTCATAAAACACAAAATACGGCATCAAATAAAAGAGCTTTAGCTTCTTCTGATATAAATATTCTATATGATCATTATCTTACCAGTTCTGGGAAAATTGATGGAGGGAGTGATGTTTAAACAGATTCAACATTATTTTAGGGTGAATGGCATTTACACTGATGTTCAACATGCTTACAGAGAAGGATTTTCTACCAGTACGGCACAGACTACTCTTACTGATGAATGGTTGGGACAGATTGATAGGAAGCTGCTGGTGGGAGCAGTGCTTCTGGATTTTAGTGCTGCATTTGATATTGAGGATCATGACATTTAACTTTTGAAACTATCAGCGTATGGTTTTAACAAGACTGCTATCAATTTTATGAGTAGCTACTTGACTAATAGAAAACAATGTGTTATATTTAATGGTAGTCGGTCAAACACTGGCACTCTTTTGTGTGGGATTCCCCAAGGAAGTTGCTTGGGTCCTTTATTATACAGTATATTTGTAAATGATATGACTTTTGCATGCAGTGAAGCGCACATGACTGTATATGCGGATGATACGACCATATCTGTTTCAGCTTCAAGTTTAGTTCAGGTCAATGTTATGCTTCAACAGGAGTTAAAGTCTATCTCTGAGCGGGTAGAGGGAAATAAGCTAAAATTGAATGTATTAAAAACCAAGTGTATGCTATTAGGCTCTAGGAATTTGGTAAGAAAAACCCACCAGTAAGACATTTATTTATGGGGACAACAAACTGAACAAGCAAAAGAGACCAAACTACTGGGCATAACATTGGATCAATCAATGTCATGGACTACACATATTGATAATATTGTAAAGAGAATGAGTAGGAGCATTTATGTAATTAGGAGCAATGCTCAGTATATGTTACTGGAGACCAGAAAACTTGTTGTACAGTCTCTGGTTTTGTCTCATCTGGATTACTGTTCAGTTGTTTGGTCCAGTGCAGCAAAGACAGACCTTGACAAGCTTCAGAGAGCTCAGAACAGAGCTGCGAGGTTGGTTCTTGGTTGCCCTTTTAAAACTAATATCCACTGGATGTATTTTAATCTGTCATGGATGAGTGTAAATGACAGACCGGCCTGCAGCCTGGTTGTGTCGTTACACAAAATCTGGGTTTTACATAAACCTTTCAGCTTGTTTACAAAGTTGTTACCAACCTGTGAGCGGCATGGTTTTAACACAAGGAATGCCTCTCATTTATCTTTACTCTTCCATTGCCAAGAACCAATGCACTTAAAGGAACAGTCATTTACAGAGCAGTCACATGCTGGAATATCCTGCCTCCTGAACTAATAACAATAAATGTTCATGATGCGTTTAAAGTGAATCTCAAGAAATTTGTAAAACATAAGCTTATATCAGACAACAGTTACAGCTATTTCAATCAGATTAATAGATTTTAGATTTATAGAATTAACACCCTGACACTTTATTGTTTTATTGATTCATTGATCCATTTTTAAATTGACTTTTTAGTGCTTTTTTATGATTTTGTTTTATGAGGTTGATTATAGGAGTTTGTGTTTTTCTTACATTGTATATGAAATATTGTACTTTTAATCCTACACTGTCTATGTGATATTGTATGCATTTTCTTTTTGTTTCTTTTATCAAGTGGACCCCAGGAAGAATAGTTTTCACTATTGTGAAGACTAATGGGGATCCTTAAATAAACAAATATGAAATATTCTGTTTAATCCAGCACACAAGCCAAAAAAACGTGATTTTTTTTACTTTGCAGTAGGGCTGCAACAACGAATCGATAAATTCGATGAAAATCGATTACTAAAAGCGTTGGCAACGAATTGCGTCATCGATTCGTTGTGTTGCGCAACTCTTCCAAAAGCCCCCTCCCCTCCCGCCCGCCGTTGCGCGCAGACCGGTGGAGAGCCGGCAGGTGTTTGCAAGAGGAACATGGCAGAAGCAGCGAGACCCCAAAAAAGTAAAAACTTCTAAAGGCGAAGACATGCAACGTTTGTAGGTCAGACTTAGCATGGCACGGGGATACTACGGTGATGATGCAGCGTCTTAAACGCAAGCATGTCAGAATCATCAGCGAGGAGGGAGAGAGCTCGGTGTCCGGGTAAGTTAAAAACTTTTCAAAAGTGATTCACCCAAGCCCCGGATTATTACACAGGCTAGACATGCCCTAAGCTCGTAAAAAAAAGTCTATAAAATTGTAAGCGCGACGCTATTAGATAGGCGGGGGGGGGGGGGGGGGGGGGGGAGACTCGCGCCGCTGCGAACCGGTTCCGCCGTCACATTCCCGCAGAAACTGGTTGATCACACCGGGGCCAGACTACTAACATGTGGCTTTACAACCACAATGTCCTCAGAAGCGAAAACACTTTTAAAAGGGAGGGAGGAGTCCTAACTGTTGCTGCAGGCGTGTTGTGAGAGTGTAGTTATATACTGGTTAATATATTTTTGGGTTCAGTTGCTTTCATGTGGCCTAATGTGAGTCTATTTGGGATCATTGGAATGATCAGCAGCATTTCTTGATGTGACTTTATGGCAGTTGCCCAAGGAGGATGGCATTCATTTTCTTTTGTTTTATTTGGTATTTTTTCAGTCATTTTTGGAAATAGTGATTAATTTTGATTAATTCACAGCCTATATTTAATTACATTTAAAAATTAGTTGTTTGACATCCCCAATTATAATAAATGTCTACAGATGAGATCAAACAAAACAGATGAGAATTGCCCTTAAAGAGCAAGTCACCCCCAAATAAACTTTTTTTTGCTGATGAACTAAATAAACGAGTGTCTAATCGTGCTGCAGACGCGTGTCGTCAATAATTTGGCACTTCAGTGCATCTTAGTTAAAATTTAAATATTCTGCCTAAAACTGGCAGTGTTGTGCCGTTGTCAGGTAAAAACTCTGCACTGTATTTTAATTTAAATCTGCCACTGCTATTGGCTATGATGTAAACTGGTACATTATGATGTCACAATGCTGTCATGAGCCTGAGTGTGTGTGTATTTGTTAGCGGCTCCGCCCTCTCGGTCTGCCAGGCAACAGCATGTGTTGCATTTTTCAAACATGAAGTGGGAGTGGAGTTAGACTCTGGTAGGGGTTGACTTGCTCTTTAAGCTGTTTAACTTGGACCAAGCATTTTAGGTCACAGATAGGTGTAGCTTAGGATCTCTGTCTATACACCTTATAAGACAATTTAGGTGATGGCATGTTGTTTTTCTGCTATTGAACTGTTTTCTAATAATGTTGTGTTTAATAAAGTGAAGGAAGGAGAAAAATAACGTTTCCCTAGCAGTTTTTAAAAATGTCCCCATGTAATCCGATTAATCGATTAATCGTGTCGAGACCCCATCCGATTAATCGATTATCCAAATAATCGTTTGTTGCAGCCCTACTTTGCAGTAAAAACATTCATTGAACAAAACAGCTTAATTTTATACGGCGTGTAACATTTCTATTATCTCAAAAACATATGGCTTCCCAATAATAATAATACAGTATCAAATAATTAAAATAAACATTAACAGCAGCAATAATGAGAGCTACTTAAACTGAAGTTAATAGCATATATATTTAACAGATTTGTTATAATTTAAATAATTAAAAATAATCTCACTTTATGTTCTGCTACTGAATCATTTTGTTTTTAATTTTCAAGTATATTTGATCATCACTTTTATTAGTATTTCCACAAATAAACATTGTTTTGGCGCAAATGTTAATTTCTGCAGGAGTTTTCTCACTTGCATATGATAAAATTAGATATATTCAAACTCCATCTAATGAATATTCATTTGTAAAAATATATAAAAGACCGACACCAAAAACAGTATAAATATGCGCTACAGTCGTGTTGCAGAAATAAAGACATCCCATAATAAAGAGAAGACGGTGCTAAAGCTACAGAACAGGGCCTTTGTGCCAGAAAACGTGAGGAAGCGGTTTAAATGTGTTAATCTGAGAGAGGGAGGCTGACTGCTGAAGGCCTGCTGCACTTCAACTCACCCATCTTTTCTCTTCGCCTTATACACATGACCGTAAGTGCCTCTTCCCACTTTGCATCCTTCGTACTCAAACAGGTCCTCGACACGCTCTCGTTCTCCAGTTAGCTTCACTTTAAAATCATAGTCCATTTTCACCTCGGTTTGGGTAAATGTCTAAGCGCCGTCCTTATTCTTCTTCTTCTTTTAAAGCGTCGCTTGGGAGGCAGCTGGGCTCCTCCACCGAGCTCGGGTTGGTATTTCAGATAGTTGCCTTACCCAGCGTGGCTCTTTCCTCTTTCAACCCAGCTTACGTGTCGAGTTTTCGGGTCAAATTGAATGTTCCGAAGAGGGGTACGCGACGCTTGGAGGTAGTCCTAGTGGAAACTAGCTCAATTGTTTATTTCTTTCTGTTGTTGCTGCGTTTCCCCCCAGCCGGTATTTGCTCCAAAGAGACGTACATAGTCGGCAACGACGGCATTGTCGTAAAACGTCGTAAAGACGGTCCTGCAGCGGAGAAAAGAGGATGGAAACATGGGATAAGCAGACCCAACCACGTTGAAATACGTGTCTAGAACCTCATCAGTAACGCATTTACATTGTGAAAACAGCGTTTTTTTATTTTAGTGTCGTGTTACAGACAGGAAACCACCAAAAAGCGTTTTTATTGGTTAAAAAAGCCCTTCAATTAGATTTTGTAAATAAGAAACAAAATATCCATCTTTTAAATTTTAAGCAAATAAGAAAATTGGGCCTATTTAATTCAGTAAGTTGTCAATACCCAATAATTGATGGAAGTGTTTGACAATTTATAACAAACCCCCATTTATGACATCTTCAAGGGTTTATCCATATAAGTAGCGGTGAGTTGAAGAGGTAAAAAGTAATTTGTTGGAGGACAATTTTGTGGAGGGACATCTGTGTCCCTTTTGGATTTCTCTTTATCATGGATTCACAATGACAGTGCAACACTTGTATTTGTCTTCAATAAAAGCTAATTTCTATCTCTGTTAACTAATCACTGTGAATTTATGTTTTAACAACAGAAACATAGATGAAAAGATGCCATTCATTTTAAAGAGGTGATTAGATAAAATGAGTACAGAAGTTGGTCATAGTTAGAAGGAAAATTGCATTATCGGGAACTGGAAACAATAGAATTCTTACTATGAACTCATTTTACAATGCATTTGAATTTGCATTTGGCTCACAGTTTGGATCTTCTTTTATTTATTTGTTTGTTTATTTCTAGGATTTACTAACAAAAACTGTTTTAAAGGCTCTTTACTTTATCCAGAACTGTCAGCATTCTTTGACTAGCTCATTCATACATCGTCTCTTATCTTTTTGTGTGGAGAGAATAGCCGTGATAGTAAATAAATAGTGACAAATTAGCTACTCTTCTTAGATTTACGTTGATTAATGAAGATCATCTAGAAATTACACCCACTGGTGTTTCATGACTTACTCTTGGATCGTGATCTCAGTCATTTTTAGGAGGACCTGCTTATAACAAATGTTAAAGTAAAATGTACACAATTTCATTTTAAATACAGCATAAATTAATTATTTTTGATAATGTTGATCTGCCTTTCAAACTGGTTAAAAAACCAATAAACATCTCTTTGGACAGTATTGTTTTGTAGGAACTAAGAAAATGCGGTGCTTGTTTCAGACGGACGGTTTAATGCTTGTACCGCTGGTCCCATCTTGGGTTGTGAGAGGTGAGAGCTGAGCCAACCGTCCATATTATAACTGCCTTGTCAGGTATCTAAATCTTATAAATTTTAATGTCACGTCTCACGAGAGTATGATTTCTTTAACTTGTGTGTTTCGTGTGTGTTAACTGATCGATAAAATAATTCCCCATGGTAATGTGTTTCTTTTTTTTCTCGGAGCTAACACTGGGCATCGACTGATTGCTGGCTGTGCTAACATGTTCAGTTAACACTCGGAAGCGTTGCGCATTGAATTTTACGCTTCGCAGTTTATGAAGGGTCCACAAATCGTGCTCGTGCGTTTGTGCGACAACACATAATTTCACTGTTGATGGCATACATCTGAATCATTCTGCTGTTTGATTATGCGGACAGGATTCTTTGTCTTTGCTTCGATGCTCTGCGTCTACATGGAGGAAGCCTCCGTTAGCCTCGCTTGGCCCGCCTTTGCCGAACAGCGATTGGACGCCGGGCGTGACCGTCACCGAGGCTAGACCGCTGATTGGTCGCTGACCATGATGACAGCGGCACTTTTGTTGCTTTACATTAGCCGTGGCCTTCGCTCGATATAAATCCACTTGTTTAAAATTAGCTTTCATGAAGACTACATCGGTATTATTTGTCTTATTAGCTGTCTTGTACTCTTGTTATTTTTTTCCACATGACAAAATAGTTTAACTTCTGACGCTAACACACAAGCTAAATGTTAGCTAGATTATTGCAGTAGCTCTTGTAGAAAATGGTTGACGTTGGTTTTCCTCTCGGCCTTTTAAAAGACTGATCAGGTTTGAATTTGCATTTCTTGTTGAGCTGCAACGCACCACAGCATATTGAGTGCGTATATACCTCAAACTCAAATGTTATTTACTCATCTTTCGACTTTAGGATGGAGCTGTTATCAGTTTTGACTGCATTCTCTTGTTTATATGCATCCATAACAAATTTTCACTTAGGTAAAGCTGCTGTGGGTAGCTTCGCGTGTCACTGTCACTTTCCATCATCAGCTGATGATTTGCTCATCTGCTTCCCAGCACTCTCCATGGTGATGGACCCTCCTGGTGGGGGAGATGAACGCCAGAGGCAGGCAGAGCGTCTTCGACGGGAGGAGGCATACTATCACTTCATAAATGAACTGAGTGAGGAAGAGTACCGTCTCATGAGAGACAGCAACCTGCTGGGCACCCCAGGTGAGGAGTCACCCACTAGTTTAGGTCCAGGCCAAACTGTCACTTTACATGAGTCTTTACTTGATGTTGCAGCCCCAAAGGTTTTCTGTGAATGTGAAAAATGTATCTAGTACTTCCAAACCAGAATTTAAAAAAAAATAATAATAATTTTAATTATGTTTTTCTGTCTTTGGAGCATCTAAGCACAGAGGTGTTTCTCTGGTGCTCATGTCTCAAAACACCCTCAATGTGCAAAATATTTTACAGGGGAGGTTACTGCAGAGGAGCTGCGACAGCGTCTGGATGGAGCAAAAGAGCGTGTGTTGTCTCAGCCCGGCACTGAGCAACGCTCACAGACTGCTGACGCTGGAGAACAACAGAGCAGTAGCAGCGGGGGAGAGGAGAGAGGTGCTGGAGGAAGAGGAGGGGCAGGTATGATGTTCTTGTGTTTATCTGACTTTTCTGGTTCCATGGTTAGGATTAAACAAACCAGACAATAGCATTCACCAGGAATTTTGGGACTTAAGATAACTGCAAATGTTTTCTTACTAAGTTCTAACTTTTTAAAAACATTTTGACAGGGAACACAGAACCTGGAGCAGAACCTTCTAATGGCGATTCATTACTGGAGTGGCTCAACACTTTCAGACGTACTGGTAATGCCACCCGGAGTGGACAGAGCGGCAACCAGACATGGCGGGCTGTTAGCCGGACCAACCCCAACAGTGGGGAATTTCGTTTTAGCTTAGAGATCAACATAAACCACGATCAACCTGAGCCTGGAGAGCATAATGACGGTGTGAACACCGCAGATACTGCAGAGCTGACTCCTTCAAACACAACAGCACCCTCTACACGCACTGCTTTCTCACTCTCCAGCTCTCGCCCTTCAGCTGCACCAAGGTCAGCCCCATATCCTTCCCCCCGTCCTGCCATCAGTAGGAGGATGGAGACTCGACGTACACGTAGCAGCACTACCACTCCTCCTGTTAGCCTCCATGTGCCGCCACCTCCAGAGATTTCTGGTCAAAGGAGGGTCAACACTTTGCACTCTTCCGCACCTTTGTCTGTTGTCCCCAGTTCTCTTGTTGATCAAACCACACCTTCCCAGCGTCCGCTCCTGCATGTAGAGGTGGAGCAAAGGCAGGATGGAATGTCTACTCCTCCAGACTGTCCTCAGGTGTCACTCCAATCTGAATCACAGGCCCCACCTGTGGAACACGAATCACGCAGCAGTAGGACTCGATCGCGTGGTCGTGCCCGTAGGGCTACAACAGGGAGTGGAGTTTCATCTCGTGTGTCTAGAAGAAGTCGTTCTCCTTTGCACAGAACACCTGTTCCAAGTACTGCACCATCCTCCAGCAGCGTCCCAATTGGTTTTGCTGTCCACACTCAGCCAGCCAGTGTAACAACCTCGGTGTCGATGGAGACTGGGGAGACCGTGTCAGAACCTGCTGCTCTAACCGAGACGGCTGTGGAGACTGTGGAGCTTGAGAGGGATTCACATGTCACAGGAGCTGGAGGTTCAGCAGTGAGACGCCACCCCACCATCATGCTGGACCTGCAGGTGAGAAGGATTCGACCTGGCGAGAACCGAGATCGGGACAGCATCGCTAGCAGAACGCGTTCTCGCGCTCGTGTTGCCGAGAATACCGTCACGTTTGAAAGCGACAGTGGAGGGTTTAGGCGCACCATCTCTCGATCTGAGCGAGCTGGGATTCGCACTTATGTGAGCACTATTCGGATTCCGCTGAGGCGCATCAGTGAGACGGGCCTTGGAGAACCGAACTCTACTGCCCTACGCTCGATCCTGCGCCAGATCATGACTGGGTTTGGAGAGCTTAGTTCTCTTATGGAAACGGAGGCTAATTCTGAATCTGTTCCACCTAGCCACGCTGATGTTGGCAGTACAAATAGCAATTCCAACCCAACCGGTCGTCTACATTCAAATGAGAATGTGTCTGGCCAGGATGGTACCGGGGAGGTAGTTCAGGAGAGGGAAGGACTGGCGGGAAATGAGGATGAGCAAAGTGGGCAAGCCAGACTTGGGGGTGGAGTAGTAAGTAGCACTGATGGACGGGTTAACAGTAGAGACACCAACAACCTGGTAGAAAATGGCACCCTACCCATTCTGCGGCTGGCGCACTTCTTTTTGCTCAACGACGAAGACGACGACGAACATCCGAGGGGCCTGACCAAAGAGCAGATTGACAATCTGTCGACGCGTACGTATGGTCAGGCCAGCCTGGAAGGTGAGATGGGTCGTGCGTGCAGCGTGTGCATCAACGAATATGCTCAAGGGAACAAGCTGCGCCGCCTGCCCTGCTCCCACGAGTTCCACATCCATTGCATCGACCGCTGGCTCTCCGAAAACAACACCTGCCCCATCTGCAGGCAGCCTATACTCGCCACGCTTCACGACTGAATTCTTTTCATTAAATACCTTATCATGCTCATGGCTGGCTGAACTGAGTTAATCCAGGTGGGTTTGGCGTGTACATATCGCTTTTATGGTCTAATTTCATTGTTTTTGAAAGAGGTTGAACCAAAAGTGTGAAAGAAAGAAACTATAAGTGCAGAAATTTAACAAAACTATTTTTTTAGATGCTTCGTTCTCAGTAAGTCAGTTTATTTTCTTCTTTGGCCTTAGTTGCTACCTTTTACACGAAGCTGCAGAGGTATGCATTTCAGCTGGGCATTAAGAAGCCACTGCTGAATGTTTTTTCTTTCCCCACAGCTGGATTACAGAAATCTCTAGGTTTTATTAGTGTGAGCTGTAAATAACCACCGCTTGTTAAAATTTCTGAAGTAGGATGTGACTCACATGTCATCTGTGCAGAACGGAAGAAGGAATTTGTTTTTCTTTTCCAATTCACTATTTTAAAGCATCAAATCCATTTAAAATGTGTCTTTATAGTTCATTAAGAAATATATGAGCTTGGCATTTTATTTTGTACGTTTAATAGTGTTTCTTGCAATAGAGAAATCCACTATAACCTGCCACTTTGAAATTAGTCACAAAATTTGAAAGGCCTCTTCGGTTCCAATGAAATGCCGTAGACGTGATAATCAGGGATTCAGGCTTGTTTGTTATGAGTTGTGCAATGTCAAGAGGAGAAAGTACCGCCTTGCTATTCATCGAATGTTTACATTGTAATGCCTGATGGGCTTTTCCAGTTCAAAACATAGTCTGAAATCGATGTCTTCTCTGTTCCCGTTGCTAAGTCAGATCCTAATGTGTCTGGTGAGTAAAAACCTGGGAGATGTACCGAAGGGGATTAGGGCCACTGGAGAGAAAAATAAATTTGACTTTAGTCTCAGATTTCTGACTTTTTTTCTCAAAAGTCAAAAAGTCAGCCGTTCGTGGATGAAGTTGGCATTCAGAGGAAAAATGAGGAATTTTGAAGCAAACGCCTTTTTTTTCTATTTCAGTGCCCTAATCCTCTTCCGTAGAGATGACATTGAAAGTTGGACAAATTTCTTCATACGTCTCTAGCTAATTGAAATATGTCACAGATGTGTAGCAGTTGTGCGACACATTTGTTAATAGCATCTGACACTTAATATATTTTTCATCTTTATTTCCTCAATTCAGTTTTATTTTTCTACGTTAGATGCACAAATATTTCATTTCTAGTTTGTGAGCGATGGATTGTGGACTAAACTACCATAAGTTGTTTCTCCCACCGGTCACTTTATTCACAAACCGTAACGGTGCACACACACACACGCCAGTCACAACACCACGACAGCTTGTGTCGCTAACAAAACTGCAGGATTAATGTGGTCTAGTATGTAGGAATGTGCGAGAGTATTTTAAGTGTGTTTGGTTTAAGTATGAGTGTCTGTTTGAACGGATGGCCTGGTGTCCATTAAACCCGGTTCGACTAATGTCCGCTTTGGAGGCTCTGTGGACAAACCGTTCAGAAGTATTTATTCTGTTTCCTATTTTAAAGATGGAGATCTGCTTTTGAAATGAAAATGGTTTATGTTGCAATGTGAAGAGAGTAAATGGTTATGATGAAAATAATACTATGTAATAAATGAAAGATATCAGCTTTCTTCTTTGCTCATCAATTGTGTAAAATGCTGCTTTGTTATGCCTAAACATACCTTTAAATGTGTTTTAGCTTAATAAAAAGAAGCCTAGAGAAACCTGTTAACAGATCACTGTGCGAGTAAACCGAGAACTGCCTCTATTAAGCATTACACAGAACTCCAAAGGTTTTCAACATAGTTTTAAATTTCATTGTAGCATAAATAGATTTGTTTTATTCACGATAACAATCGGTAACAATTTCTTTTTGCCACTTGCTGTATAGTGACTAAGACTTTTACTACAATGATGCGTGCATCACTGCCTTGTACTAGCGCTTTGATGTTTAGGACCCTTGGGCAAGTTTTCTGACTGGTCTCCTGATTGCAAATTATTTCTCAGCTGAAATGCACTCATTTAAACCCTGAACGGTCAGGACCAGATATGTGAGGGTAGTACTGAAAATACTAAAGCAATACATTCATTTTAAAATTCATGTGATGAATGGAACACTGCAAGATACACCCCATAATCTGACTTTTACTTCACACTATTAAAAAAGCTTTACTGTTACTAATTTGCTAGTCTCGTTAATTTATACATTATTTCCGTAAGTGTTCCACTCCGTATAATGTAACAATTTAAATTCATTAATGGAGAAAAACACTCCAGCTTTAACTCTAAATCTACATTTTACCCAAATATAAATACATTATTTACTTGTTTCGACAGAAGTCTTTTAAAGCGCAAATCACCCCCAAGTCAACTTTTTTTTTGCTGATATATATAAATTTATATCTAATCGTGCTGTTAACATGTGTAGTCAAGAATTTGGCACTTTAGTGCATCTTTGTTAAAATTTAAATTTTCTACCTAAAACTGTCAGTGTTGCGTCCTCTTCAGGTAAAAACTCTGCACTACATTTGAGTTTAAATCTGCCATCGTTATTGGCTAAAGCCTGATTCATGCTTCTCCGTCAGCTCCAACAGGGAGAGAGACACGCACGGATGGAGATGTTTTGCCGTCATGCTTCTCCGTCTCCTGGGGAGTGTTGCAAAGCAATTCTTGGCCAGGACAGCAGAGGGCGTAGCGCTGTTCTGTGGTATCCTGCCATGTATCCGGTCCAAGATAGTGTGTTTATATTTTGCTTTTTTGTACATAAGAGACTTTTTAACAGACAAATTTGTCTCTCGTTCTCCTCCACCTCTTCATGCGCTCGCCACCTCTAAACCCACATTTCCCATCATTTCCGTCCATAAATAAAACGCTTGCTGCGTATCTTTTCACTCCTCCAGTCACGGGGAATTAAAACGTTCATGTTTTTAGAGTTTTTTTTACGAGGTATTCTTCAAGCTTCTCCTTGTCTGCCGCTAGTTATCCTCAGCTCTTTGTTTTTGAGGGCGCAACGGCGGCGATGTAGACGACAGCGGCGTCCTGACCAATCACAAGCTTGCATTGTCCATCTCGTTCGACAGATGTTTAAAAAAGTGGGCTCGACTCCGTGCGTACTTGCGTGCCTGCCGGTGCCCTACGCGAGGACGGATAATGGCGTTGCGCGTCTCAGCACTGACGCAGACGGAGAAGCATGAATCAGGCTTAAGAGGTACACAATGACTAGCTGAAACATTATGTTGTGAGCCTTTTTGTGTTTGTTTGTGGCTCTGCCTTCTCAGCCTGCCAGGCAACAGCATTTGTTGCATTTTTCAAACATGAAGTGAGAGTGGAGTAAGTTTCTTGTAGGGGGTGACTTGCTCTTTAAATAAATCTTGCATTTTATATAAAAAACTACGTTTATTAAATTTTAAAAAAGTAATTATCTTTTTTAAAGCTGAATATATGAGGTGAAAATGTTTCAAGTTTCACATTCTCACTTTTTTTCTTCAAAAAGCTATTTGTTTTTAAAATGAAAGATGGTTTATGCACTTTATCTTGAAAGACCGGAAGTCTTGTGTCCCTACTTCCGGTAAATTACCGGTGACAGACCGCGACCTCGTACATCTAACCCCCGGCGGTCCAACGGATGAATGATGGCCGTCCGTCAGCAGCAGCGAAAGCGGCGACCGCAGACCGGGTCAGGGGCAGCACTGTGGCCTTCTGCCGACGAGCCGTGAGCATGTCACCGCTCCGGCCTCCTCCTTTCACCAGCTTCACCGACTCTCATTCGCCACCGTCAAAATGTATTTCAACCGGAGGGCCAAGAAGATACACAGCGAGGGGGGTAAGCGCCTCAAGCCCACTTAAATGAATCGGTGTCCGTTCGACCTGTCCATAAACGTAAAGTGTTTTTTATTGTCGTCATCGGGCCCGTCTCAGCGGCCTGCATGTACCCGCTATGTGCTCGGCATATTAAACGAACCGTGTTGAGACTGCGCTATGATATGGAGCGACATAGCCCTTATTTATAAGAGGGACAGACATGCAGGTGCCTGATCCGACAGCAGGAAGATGTGACCTTTTAATAGAATGAATGGGACTTTATCAAATTGAAGACATTTTTCATTTTTTTATCATTAATTCTCTATTTAGACTATGTATGGTAACTGATTTCAAAATACATTTTCCCAAACGAACAATAAACCCTATCAGATTAACTTTATGGCATATTTTTAATATCTGGATCAACCTCCATGTTTTTATTTTATGTGACTCACAAAAAATAACAACAAATGTAATTTATTGTCATTTTTGTGCACCAGCATCCAAACCAAGCACCTGCAGCAGAACCAATCCAATAACAGCCAGTCTTAAAAACCACATGATCGCCTCCTCCTGAGCGTCTGGCATCCATCCTACCTCACTCATAACGAAACCTTGTTCTGTTCCTTTTATTTCTCACAGCTCAGTTGATCAGTTCCAGTTCTTGCACAGGAAAATACCTCGGGCTCTTTATGTTACACAAACTTCCTATGATAGAAGATAATTGTTTAAAAATGAAGCTGCAACAGAGACACGTGGATTTGATAAGCTGACATGTTTGATCTGGAAATGAAGAGCATGCAGTCGTCCCATTCAGAAGCTTTTAATAACATTGTCAAGCTTGTTTGTTTGTGTGTGTTTATTACAGCTTCCAGAAATAATAAGCGGGGCAATTTGTGCATAGATGTGTGATAAGTGGGCCGTGCAGGCTCAAATCCAGACATTTGTTGAACGTAGCTTAAAAATGAACAAACGGCTTAAAGAACTATCGTGTCAGAATAAAATTAAAAAATGTCAAATTAAAATAGACTATTAGAAATGCAACTTTGTGACAGGTTAATATCAGAGTTGGGTCGTCTTTCTGTCACCTATAGATTAAAGAATAAATTTTAGAGGGTCTTCAAGTGAGTCTGTCTGCAGAATGTTTTTCAGGACTATGATATATGTTGGTTCGACACTATTTCAGCTGTTTTCCAATTGAATAAAACACAGAGGCATTTGCACACACATTCCCTCTTAGGCTCTTCATGTTGTCATTCTAATCTCTTGAAACCTGACCTGACAGCACTTTGCTCCAATTAGCAAGCTGTCAGATCTCAGGCAATGACGTCTACAGCTGCCAATCTGTCACATTTATTGCCATTTTTCACAAGCATCATTTTCTTTTAAAGATCCTAAGCTTGTGATACATTGTATGTTTTTTTTTTTTGGGAGGGACTTTTGAAGCTCAAAAACTAGTTTGCAAAGCCCACCTTACAGCTTACACCATACATGTTACCGTATATGAAATGAGTAGTCTTTCCAGATGAACTGCACTGCTGGTGTATTTATAAAGAAACAAGCCATCCCTGTTTTTTTGTCTCATTTGAGCGTGAGTCGTGCAGATCAGCCAGCTGTCAGCAGTTCTTCTGTTTTGGGAAGATAATGACAGGTTGTCATGCCTGCCTTAGTTCTGAAAATGCTGTTTAGGAGATAGGGGAGGTGTTTACAAGGGCTAACCACAAGGGGGCGCTCCCAGACTAGCTACAGATGTTCTGTTGAAATCCATTCCCCAGCTCTACAAGACATCTTTCATGCCACTGTAAATGTAAAACGCACGTGCAGACTCATTTACAGTACAATCACTGCCATCTTAGAAGTGCTGTGTGTGTGTTGAACAGTACTTCTTTATTGACTTGTCCTATGTGTGTGTGTGTGTGTTGTTTTCTCTCGCTGCAACCTCGTTTGACACCCACAGAGCAGTTAGTGTTGACCACCATTAGGCAGGAGGCTTCTGAGTTGCAGGACCCAGGCCCGGGCGCCAGCACTACCATGTGCGCCCGCCTCACAGACAGGTTTGATAAAAGTGAGTTTGCTCTAATTAGGCTGGATGATGCCCCTTCCTCCCCGTTTGTCTGGAGCATGCGCCGACAGCAGCTAGAAGACGTCTCCCAACCCCCTGGCCCTCATGAGCTACAGTTTGTGGTTTGGGGCGGAAAAAGGCTTAGACGCAACATTATGGATCCAGAATGATCCGTAGCTCCTCCGGGCCTGGAGTGGTATACGCTGTACAGGAACTCCTTGTTGCATGCGCTTGTAGGAAGTAGTGACCCTTTAAACTAAGGTTGGGTGATTGGACGAATTTTTCGATCGTCTGCGATAGTCCAAGTCCTTTGCCGATTGTTTTTTTTTAATGAGCAGTAATTTTTTTAATACCTATGAATTAGTCTTGCAAATTCAAACTTCTACATCAAATCAATCTCTTCTTTGCAAGAATGGCTGTGATTCTAAGGATATGCACCAATCGAGGATACAAAGTCATCCGTCAAACCATTCCGAAATTTAAAATAACTCATCATTCAAAACCAATTACAAGGCTTACATTCACAATCCAAAATAAAATATCGCTGAAAACAATGAAAATTTTCCTTTAGATGTTAAAGTTAAAGTCCCATTAGTGTGTGCTGCAGACACAGCCACACTCATGTGGTTTAAAGAGCAAATTGCAGGTTAGAGACTCCCATGAACCAATGTTCAGTGAAACATAACAGAAACGCGTTTTAAACATTTTTTTTTACACAAACATAAATTATTTAGGCTTTTAGAGTCATTTTTGTGACAAAGTTTGTTTTTTGGCCAAACCAAGTGACGTCATCTGAGGGAGTCCTGTTAGCTTAATCCAGTGAAAAATATGGATCATAATGCCGGCTCTGACACAGAGGAAACTTTAAATGTTTACAATTATACTCATGATGGACCAAAACCATAAAGTTATGAGTTTGCTGCGTACCCCTGAGGACAGAGACCAACCAGAGGGAGAAACTATCGGCTAAAGCAGAAAGATCAAGGAGGAGCAGCAGGTGTCTGGTGAGTTAACCATGTTAGCTTAAACTCGTGTGCTAACATCACAATATTGTGCAGACTACTATCATGTACCAGACAATTAAAATAGTATCGGTCAGTTAATATTAATATTAATGAGCGTCTATCAGCGGTCTCATACTCGTTAATATCCGTTCATGTATCATAGTTTAGCTTAGAGAGAGGGAGAGGCGCCTATGATCCGGTTCTGGAGTTCTGTGAGCTGGATTTGACCAAATACGAGTGAGACAGTCGAGCTGGTATTTTTAAAAGCCGCACATCCTCTCCTGGTGGTCCAGGCAGCTGTTCTGATCTGGTTCCGACCTGGAAACCAGCTGGCCCGCTGAGCTCCGTGTCTCTTCTGGTGGTCGGTTCTGACCTGGTTCTGACGGTGATCGGAGCTCCAGAAATCCGCATTAAACTTTTTAAACCCCGCCTCGGGTCTCCGGAGCCCAGCACGGACCTCCCTGTTCTGGTACCAACCGATGCGGGCTACAGAAGTCCGTCTTTTCAGCTGCACAAAACGCCTTCAGGCACGGAGATAGAGGCGTTGTTTCTCTGATCTGGAAACTCGGGGACTCGATGTCCGGACAGGCTGGAGTTGGTACAGCCTTCACATACTCTAGTTTATCAACAAGAACACAATCCAAAACTAGTAAACACACACACTGGACCACATGACCTCTCTACTCTAAAACTAGCCACTCTCCACACTGAGCTGAGGCAGCGCCGAGCTTCTAACTCCCTTTGGTTACGTCAGAGGTTCACATTTAGAAACGAGCTTTGCTGAGAAAGGCCACGTTCTACTAGAAAAACTCTGCTGTTATGTATTTGAAAAGGAAATATCCACAATAAGCTTTTGAAATGGTATTTTTTTGGACAGCATTTTATATGATTCAGAAAAAAAATTTAACCTGCAATTTGCTCTTTAAGACCCCAATCTAGCCCCGTAATGCTGAGTGTCAAGCGGGGAGGCATTGGTTTTCATTTTTTAAAGTCTTCGGTATGACCCAACTTGGACTGGAAGCCCAGTCTCCCAGTCCCAGACACTCATACCACTAAGCCACTGAGCTGGTGAGATGTGTCTCTTCATCACAACTCTCTGTTAGCATCCTCACATTAGCTTCAAACGTTTGAGCCAAATCTTCCCAGATCCAATAGGTGAAGAGTCACCATCTCCGCTGTGGCAGAATCTTCAACAATTGGCTGATAGGTCAGAGGTACCGCACCCTACTCTCGCGTGTCGCTCAAGCTAATTTCGGAGCAGTAGGTTATTGATTGACGCATCAAATATCCAGTGAAATAAAAAAAAAACCCAGCAATCTCAAGCTTCTGGATCACTCGTGGCCTGCCTCTCCAAACTAAGTAAGAATGATAGTGATTGGTGGTGCGCTGCACAGTTTGCATCAGGCCCACAAATTCACAATTTTGATCGTTTGGGAGAATTTTATGTATCACCCAACCTTAATTTATACTAAACCATGCTCATGAAGACTAATAAACTAGTCAACTTTCAAAATAAGCACATGCATGTTTTAAACATACACTTCATGCATGTGTGTCTGGCACATGTGAGCACAGGAGGACCACTGCTGCATGTGTGAATGAGCTGGGTGCAGGGAGGCATAGAGGTGCAGCTGCATGTTGGGGTATTCCATTTTTTCTAGCAAAAACATGCGTGCGTTCACCTGACTGTGCATTTCATAGTATTCATGGTGTCAGGAGTGTGCACGTGTTGCACCTGAGGGATTAACAGGTTATGGATTAGCAGCGGGTGAAGTTGCAGAGCAGACACAGAAAGGATTACCATGCTCACTCGCTCCATGTCCATAAGAGTCTTTCTATCCTTACTTCCTGCTCTGGTTCGGCCGCAAATGGACCTATGGGGATCGATAGTAACCATGTTAACCCGGATCTGGACGTAGGGCCTGCTGGTCGCCTAGGAGACCAGAGCCACAATGGGACAAAAGGGTCGTCATGGCAGACGGAGCTCTGTCGGTAACATCTTCCATCTTCTCAGTTGTAGGCTTTAAAGAGGAGCAGAGACACATTTGATAAAAGTCACAGACTTGTTCTATTTGAATTACATAGCTTAGTCTTTGGCTTAAACTTCAGATTAACAGGATTTTTCTTCATAACAGAGTGAGGTGCAGACAGAATTGTTGTAAAAATTACATTAGAGTTAGTTTCATTCACATTTTTGGTGGAAGTGAAATGTTTCTAATGAATGATAAAGTTCTTGAGGTCAAGGGAGTATGTAGTAAACATAACAAGCTAAGTGGATGGTTGTAGTTTAGAGTTTAGCTTAAAGAGCAAGTCACCCCCAAATCACATTTTTTTTTGCTGATAAACTATATAAAGGAGTGTCTAATCGTGCTACAGATACGTGTAGTCAGTAATTTGGAACTTCAGTGCATCTTGGTTAAAATTCAAATATTCTGCCTAAAACTGTCAGTGTTGCGCTGTCGTCAGGGAAAAATTCTGCACTGTATTTGAATTTAAACCTGCCACCGCTATTGGCAAAGAGGTATGCTATGATGTCATCTGGTACATTATGATGTCATAATGCCATTGTGAGCCTGTGTGTGTGTATTTGTTAGCGGCTCCGCCCTCTCGGTCTGCCAAGCAAAAGCATTTGTTGCATTTTTCAAACATGAAGTGGGAGTGAAGTAAGTTTCTTGTAGGGGGTGACTTGCTCTTTAAAAACACTTTGGCATGGGCTTGTCAGATGATTAAAAACAGCTCCGCCATAAACGTTCCTGTTCAATCGTTCAAGACAAACACGCTGTGATAAATATGCACACTCTGGACGGCGCTCAAACTTCACTTTCCAGGCAATAGAAACAGAAAATCACCTCGAGCATCTGTACCAAGTGTATCTGGCGGGGTGGGGGGGGATGGCAGTGCTTGAACATCTGGCGGTAATTTAAACAATCCTGCTAAAGCTGTCGTTATGATTAGTAGCCGTTGCCTTTCGGCTCATTTCATCTCTGAAATGCATGATTGGATTAAATGTGCAAGCGTCTCTGAAGCCATACGTTTGTGCCACATAAAATACACTTTAGAGCACGGCTGTTTTGAGTGAAAGCACGGGCTCAGCAGAGAGGTAGCATCTAGTGAAATATGTTCTTCCATACGGGAAAATGTAGATGAATTATGCAGCCACCGTCGATCTTTTATTCAGCAGTCGAAGCTGCTGTTAAACAGTAAAAATGGGCACCGATTCATCCTGAAATACCTGGACTTATGATGAAACTGAACGGTGTTGCCCTTAATTTGACTAACAGGATCTATGCCGACATTTAGAAGTGGTTCAAGTTAGATTACTTCTAAGTACGGGTGAAAAAGGTGTCTGGTGGAATCCTGCTTGGCGATCAGTCTTATCTTACCTGTTGTCGCTGCAGGCTATCAGACCATTTCCCAGTACCTTGGGCTCTTCACATGTAATCGACCTTGCATTGTTTTGTTGCGGACTCATCAGTGATGCCTCGCTACGGAGTTACGGACACAAACACGCCTGTACTCCAGAGATGAGTAGCCGAAGCATTGATCTGCCTAGAAATGAATTATAGCAGAAGCGAGGTGCTGAGAAAGCCCTTATTGATCTTTTTTGGAAGAGTGGAGTCTGATGGGGTTTAGAAATGGAGATCACAGTCAGATTTTCCACCGATAAAGACATGAAAGATAATGCACCTTTAGCCTTCTACCTTCAGCTATCATGAGTTATCTAACATGCCTGACAGTCATTGCAACATACTGTTCGGTTTCTTTTTTCAAGAGGTTAGTGATACCGAGAAGACTGGTAGGCTTTTTATTGTCAGATTGCATGAGCAGACTTTGACCTTTCCCCTTTCCCCTTTGCCTTGTAGACATTGCACGGAGTAGCTTTCTTCAAATGTTTACAGCTCTTAAACTGTCGAGACGTTTTATTTAGCAGGTCATATTTGAAAGATGTATCTCGCTAAAGAAAATTCCACAACACACCTCTTTGCCAATACTGCAAAGATGCCTTAATTCTCTTTCCTTTACGATTTCTCGGCTACTCCAGATTCCTGTGCTTGAGTGGGGAATAATGAAATTCGAGTCTTTTCCACTTACTGATGAAGGATGATAAGAACGTACAGTGTAGGACACTGCAGAATTGAGGTTTCAGTGCTGTGGAAATTCAATCCAAGGAAACCCTGCCACTGCTTATTGTTTTTTTTTAAATCAATTATTCATGCAATTGGTCTGTTGATGTTTTCACTCACGAACCCATCCAGTGATCCAAAGAATGATATCCCAAAGGCGATCAAATAACAAATCTTTGTGATGTAATTAATCTCTCTTGAAAGGCTTGCATTGGCATGATTGAAGGGATTGCCAAATAAATGTTAGACTGTGTTAATTTCTCCATTTTAGATAAAGCGGTTGTTCAGACATGACGTGACCCCTGACGGATGGATGGTTAGTTTGACTCCTAGATGTCATTTGACCCATCTGTGCCTGACTACAAGAGCAGGAGGCGATATCAGGCTTCTGGCCCTTTAAAAGCGGAGTCCCGGCTTTTCCTCTCCGGCACTGAAGGGGCTCCATATGGCTTCTCCGCGTTGTCTGGGGAGCTAGAGCTGCTCATCAGAGAGGAGAGGGAGCCTAAAAAACTACCTGAAAGCGGAAGGGAGTCGGAGCGTGGAGAAACACTTTTCTTTTCTTTTGTTCCACCGGCAGCTTCCTGTTCCTCAGAGCCGAGGGAGGTGAAGGGGAGCGCGGCGAAGCATCTGTCCTCGCGCCGCTGGGTAAACCTGGAGGACTCGGACTTGTTAGCATTTTTTCCCCCCTAACGCCCTCAAATGCCTCCGCAGACTTGTTCTGCATTGTTGAAGGGGAACATGTCCCGGTTCACGGTGCTCCAGCGGGGGTGAACGAGCGCAGATCACGACGCTGCTTCTGAGATGACAAAGCCCGGCCGGAGGGCGGGGAGGCGCCGAGCCTGCAGGAGGAGGAGGAACGGCTTCTTCTGTCACTTCTCTGGGTTTTCTGGGCACGCGTGTGGTCGCTGTGTGTTTAGGCAGCGCAGGATGGACGAGCCGCCGAGACAAAACTGACTAGTGTGTTTGTTCGCTATTGTGCATCCCTCAGCACATCCATTATTTCACACGGGGGGGTCCCTTGGGCGTCGCGGAACACGCGTGAGCTTCCATGAAAGAGGGGGGGAGGAGGGGGGTGTTTCATGGGAAACGTCATTGAATCGACCCACCGGCTCCACTGGACATCCTCTGATCGTAATTGGTCGCCTTTTGAGCCGTAAACTCCGGTTTGTGTGTGTGTGTGTGTGTGTGTCTCCCCCCTCCCACCCCACACCGACTCGCGCTCACCCAGCCTCACCTCTCTCATCAATCCAACGGTGCAGGACCTTCTGGCTCGTCCGCCGGTTACCGTAAAGCAGATGACGAGATGTCCGGGACCACTTCCCAGGCCGATCCGGTAGATGCCACGGCGCGGACGGTGCTGCTCAACCGGACACAAAACACCAAGTTCTGCGACAACCACGTCAGGTAGGTGCCACTGCAGAGCTTCTAACTTTTCCTCCAGAATCCGTTCATCATGCACTGATAGTTGATAACTGATCTGATCAGCTGATCCATAAAATGAATGGCATTTTATTAGAAAACTGCGTAAATCATTATTTAAACGACATAATTTCATATATTATACTCTAACAAAACAAAAACTCCAACAGAACTGATTTAATAAAATTTTGATAATTTGGAATAATCTTTTGAGTTTTTTATCTCACTTGTAATCAGATGTTTGCTAAGAGGCTTTTTAGATCCCCATAGGAGAGTTGAAGGACGGTCTCTGACAGCATGTAGGTCTCACTTCATAAGTCAACTAGACTTTGTACTTTTCCCCCCTCCCTTTAGTTTTCTAAAGTTGTCCACTTACTAACATTTCTAGTTGTACAGCTGAAAATCTGTTGATTTTAAACGATATCAAACCCTTTAGATGGGTGAGGCCGACTTGTGTCAATCAATACGTCCTCATAAATATTTAAAGCTGAAATTAAAGCGGCTACACTTACAGATGTTTCCACAAATTACACAAAGCACCTGATCTGAGCTGTGTGAGGATTATTTTGGTGTTTCTCCGAGGATACACCTGTCTTCTGTAGGTGTGATTCTCTTTTAGACGTGACCTGTGTTTTTTGCAGCTTTGGAACAACGGTGCAGATCTTTTCTCTCGCGTATGGTTCTGTGGTTTCTGGCTGTATCTGAAAATCTGTCATTTAAGTGTGTAAATATTAGGGGTAGACCAATATATCAGATTGATATTTACAGTTTTTTATGCATCTGCATAAATTTGTCCATTAGTAAAGATGATTTAAAGTCAGGCACATCTTCGGGCAGCCTGGTACTTTTGCAGAATTTAATTTAAATGTATTTTTACATTCACTAATAACATCTGCATAATAAACACTCTAGTTTAGGTGTCTGGTTTTAACACTGGGCAGTGCACAAAGTTGAGATTTAGCAGTTGGCTAACTTCAAAGTTGTCGTCGGCGTCTTCCTCCGCTTATCCGGGTCCGGGTCGCGGGGGCAGCATCCCATCTAGGGAGCTCCAGACCGTCCTCTCCAACGTGTCTTGGGTCGACCCGGGGGCCTCCTGCCAGCAGGACATGCCCGAAACACTTCCCCAGGGAGGCGTCCAGGAGGCATCCTGCCCTGACCAGATGCCCAAACCACCTCAACTGACTCCTTTCAATCCGGAGGAGCAGCGGCTCTACTCAGAGTCCCTCCCGAATGTCCGAGCTCTTCACCCTATCTCTATGGCTGAGCCCGGCCACCCTACGGAGGAAACTCATTTCGGCTGCTTGTATCCGCGATCTCGTTCTTTCGGTCATTACCCAAAGCTCATGACCATAGGTGAAGACTGGGACGTAGATCGACCGGTAAATCGAGAGCCTGGCTGTCTGGCTCAGCTCCCTCTTCACCACGACAGATCGGCTCAGCGTCTGCGGTGATGCAGACGCCAAACCAATCCGTCTGTCAATCTCCCGATCCCTCCTACCCTCACTCGTGAACAAGACCCAGAGTTACTTAAACTCCTCCACTTGAGGCAGGACCTCTCTCCCGTCCCGGAGTTGGCAAGCCACCCTTTTCCGGTCGAGAACCATGGTCTCAGATTTGGAGGTGCTGATCCTCATCCCAGGCGCTTCACACTCGGCCGCGAACCTACCCAGCAAGAGCTGAAGGTCAGAGCTGGATGAAGCTAGGAGGACCACATCATCCATAAAAAGCAGAGACAAGATTCTCCTGCCACCAAACTCGACACTCTCCACACTACGGTTGTGTATAGAAATTCTGTCCATAAAGGTAATGAACAGAACCGGTGACAAAGGGCAGCCCTGGCGGAGTCCAAACCTCACCGGGAACAGGTCCGACTTACTACCGGCTATGCGGACCAAACTCACACTCCTCTGGTAAAGGGACTGGATGGCCCTTAACGGAAAAGCCACCCACCCCATACTCCTGGAGCGTCCCCCACAGGGTGCCCCTTCAAAGTTAAAAAACTAATTCAGTTTCAGAAATTTTGCGCATCAACCGATGTTATTGGTGACGTTTTAGCACAAAAATAAGGTGGAAAGTGTCTAGATATTAGACATGAAAATCGGCAGTACGTATCGGCCATCGGCTGACCGTGTATCCTACACATCGGTATCGGCAATAGAAAAACCAATGCCGGCCGACCTCTAGTAATTTTGTAGTTGACGGGACCAAACTGCACAAGTGTCTTCCATCAACACCATCCCATGTCATCAGCGTATGTTATGGACTCAGCTGTGGTAGTAACTTTTTTATTAGTACAAGCTCTGTTTGGAGAGGAGAATCCATTCAAAGGCTTGGTGTCTACGCTCCAGAGTCTTGCCATTGCTGGGTTTGGAATATTCAATTTCACTTTAAAAGGACGAGTGTTTAGTTCGTGGGAGCTTGTTGGATCATCTGATTGGGTCCCGTGTGGCGTTCTACCCCTTTGTCCGTGCCGATTGGTGAGGCAGGAGCATTCTTGCTCCAGAGGAAAGGTGTTTGATGTCCTGTGTTTCTGAACCTCTTTAGTTTGTGTTTTTAAAGGTTCAATAGCCTTATTGATTTTTCTGAGATTAAAGCCTGTAGCTTTTATCTGTATACTCAACCGGGATCCTCTCTATTCCCAGACCTTCAAACTTTTATTTCCTTAATGGAATTTATTGGAGATCCATTGATTGTAGTTTTCTAGGCCAATTCCGATTTTCGGGTTTTTGTAACCTGCCAATTTTTTTTAATCTATGCTATTTTGGATGTTTGCAACAAATTGTGAAGAACATTCTAAATAAGTTTGCAAAATGCGTCCAAATGTTCTCAAGAGTTGTCAGTGTCCTCATGTGAGTCTCAAGGCCTTGCTGTCCCGTCACAGGATTTTTGGAAGACATGCAAAGTGCTCACGAGGAAAAAAAATTCCTCAAGGTTGCATCTCCAACCACAGTGAAATGATGCATTTCTAATTTCTGTAAAATCTTAAAGTTTCTGCTTTATAATAAAACATGATCAATTAAAGATTTTCACCAAAATGGCACCAAATTATAGAGTAAAGGAACATTTCTCTAATTGTATTTTGAAAAACCTTATGAATATTACACATGGAGTTAAAATGGCTGCGTCAGAAGGAGAAAAGTCTGTCATCAGTCAGGCTTTTCAAGCCAGAAAACAAAATTCGTCCGATTTTGGTCCCGTCCTGATTGGGTAACCGGTGCATCGTCTGTTAACCTGCTCATTTTTCAGGAGAAAAGGCCACCTGCTTTCTTCTGGCCTTTAATGTGTTCAGAAGATTGTTTTTTCTAACAACACAATTCCTGCAGGAGAGAATCACCCCTGCTGCAAACAGCTGTTGACACTCCCCCGATTTCAACATCCATACTATAAAAAATAACATCCAGATGTTTTAATTTTCACTTTATCTTTCAAACGGTAGAAAAAAAAGCGAGTAGGCAGTTTGGGGAGTCTGGTATCACTTGTCTTTGATTAGATTAGGGCAACTTTATCTACCTGAACACAGGTGTATCAGCAGCTCTGAGGTTTCTGTAATATCAGGGTCAGGAAGCTGCGTGTCCGTGTGACACACGAACAGCTGTTGCTCTACAGTTTTTCCGTGTAATGTCCTGCTCTCTGGGCTTGGTGTCTGTGTGAGTAAAAGACAGATGAGGGGGGAGGAGCAGCTATGGGTTCATCTCCTTGGAGATTCTGAGCTGCAGTGGACGGATGTGCTTTGTCACTTGCACTCTGTGCACCCGCACGCGCGAACATGAGCTGTCCATTAAACAAAATTCATTGCAGAAGGCTTTTACTCTCCACCCAGGCCCCACAAGGATAAAAAACAAAACAAATCAACCCTCAGCTTGAAGGTTGTATTTTTTTAGTGTCTGTGAAAGCTCTTACTGTAGCTAACGGTTATATCAGGGCTAATCAATGCAGCCGTCTTATCAATGCAGTTGACTGGCAGACCCGTTGAGGCTGCCAAGGTTATTTTTGCTCTTATTTTCTGCAAGTTTTCTCTAAATTTAGTGTTCTGGTTAAAAAAATAGTCCTGATCTATTTTTACGGCTGATGTGCGTGCGGCCCATATTGACTGTTTGCCCTCTTGGAGCACAAGTTAAGTGTTTCTAATAGATTTTTAAGTGCTGCAGCATAAAAACCTGAATGTGTTATTCAGCCTTTAAGACAATGCCCCTGAGAATTTAGGTGAAATAAGTAATTAGCACACAATTAATGCACACATTTCCCTCTAATTTATTCTTTTTCGGCACTTTTTTTGCTTTGCAGTACCACCAAGTATGGAATTCTCACCTTTCTGCCCCGGTTTCTCTATGAGCAGATCAGACGGGCGGCCAATGCCTTCTTCCTGTTCATTGCACTCATGCAGGTACGTCCTGAGCACAAGAGCTGCCGGTGCCGCTGGCACCAGTGGGTCGCAGCTCAGATTTCACTTTGATTCTGAACCTAGTCTTTGAATCGTACATCCTGCAATGTCTATTTTAAAGAAATATAAGGTCAACATTGGATGTTTGTTTTCTTTAATGCTGTTTTATGTATATTTAGTGAGGTATTTACTTACGTTAGTAGAATAAACTCAAAAATGACCTTGATCTACCTTTCACCATATCAGGTTTCATAAGAATGTCCCCAGACAGCTCGTGTCATTGATACGGGATCACAGACCTTAACGTCTAATTAGACTTTATGATCTAATTAGACCTTAAAGGTGTACTAGAATTTAAAACCACATTTACCTTGTCGTTTCTGAATATAGGCAGCTTTGGATGTCTAATCTAGCAGACCAAAAGTGTACCATCTCCGACCTGCTAGTGTTATAATGGCCACGGAGAAAGGGTTCGTTCTGAGAAAAGCTGATTTAACACGTCATAAACATGACACACACCCTTAAATTAGGATCTCCTAACCCACTACAGCAGTAATGCTTATTGCAAAACAAAAATTTCCTGATCTACTTCCAATGCTGGTCTGAGCTACTGCTAACACCCTTGTTGGAGGAGAGGTACACATCAAAAGGAATATTGGAGTACCAGTCAGGTTCCAGGATTTACTGGGAATATTCAGAATATGAATAAACGCTAGATAGATCCACGGCTCGTGTTCCTTGTTCATCCACAAACCTCTGACCCTTGTTCACAGAGTTTGTAGTTTTAGCCAGAGACGTAGAGCTATCAGGGTAAACTGGTCAATCAGCACACAGCTCTTTTTCATTGTATGATAGGTTTGTGTTTGACCATTTCTCGGTGCTCCTGGGAGCCTAGAAATCTAGACCAGCAGTAGCAAAAAGATGTTGCTCTGCAGGTCGGTCTAGCTTCCGGTCTACCATTGGTTGAGTAGTTTTGCGCCTTGCCAATAATAGCGCCCTACATTTGTTGGGCAGGCTTAAGCTGTGATGGAGAAAAACTACAAAGATGGTGTCGGTTAGGGTTGCATGATATGAAAACCTGCGATATGCGGTAACAGTGATTAATATTACGATGACGCTATTACTTGTGATAAATAAAAACTTAATTTGGGTACAAAAATAATCAAAAACAAAGAAATAAAAAAAATGACAAAAAAATCATAAAAATGAGAAAAGCAAAAGATGTGAGGAAAGGGAAAAAGAAAATGAACAAGAAAGGGGAATCAGTGGATCCCGGGAAAAGCAGAATCAGCAGAAAGAGCAGAGCAAAGCTAACTCGGGTGTTTGCTAACCATCAAAATGAAGTGCCATCAGCCTCGGGGGCGGACATCTAACCTATAGGAACCCACCCAATTGGCCAAATGGGTGAAGAGCTCTATTTGAATTGTTTAAAAAAAAACAAACATAATGCTTCCATTTGATTGACAGAATGCATTTGAGCGGACCATTCATTGCGATATTTATCTGTTCTTTGCGATATGCATATTGTGCATGCTGATATCGCGATAACGATATATTTGTGATTTATTGTGCTGCCCTAGTGACCGTTCAGGATTGGCGCTCATTTGAAACAGCTTTGGCATAAAATTTAGACGATTTAGACTTGGCCTTTTCTTTGAGACGTGAGCAGATAGAGGTACCCAAGTAATTTACTTAGAAAAACGGTGTATTAGCTTCTTTTTCATCGACGGTGTATGGCTCGTGGAGCGGGTGACCAAGGTTGACTTGTTGCTGTAGCGATTAATACGTCACATTGTTCGTTGCTCTGATGGGTCCTAGCACTGTCCAATAGCATGCAAAGACTGTTTGAAAGACAACTGTAGATTCTGTCCTCTGACTAATGGGTTGTGGCCAGAGTATAGGATAGCTTGCCAGGTTAGGCTCCTGTGTCATTTTGAGTCCCAACAGTTACATATGCTATGTAGAGGCAAAAGAATAGTTCTGAGGGTTTTTGGAGTTTATGACAATGGATATCATCATTGTAATTAATATTCAGCTTTTTCGTGTTTTCCCTTATTTGTTCGTGCATTTGTGTGGTTTGAATTTGAAAGACACGCTGAGAGAAATCCTGTCCAATATGAATCTCTCTAATTTCCAAATAGCTGTTTTTATTTGTGCTGTGTTCTTTTTTTCTCATCAGCAAATCCCCGACGTGTCACCGACCGGCCGCTACACCACGCTGGTCCCGCTCATCTTCATCCTCACTGTGGCCGGGATTAAAGAGATCATAGAAGACTATGTGAGCGGCTTTCTTTAACTCTGTAAAAGGACAGAGAGGGAGAGGGGCATCATGTGGATCTTTTTCCTACTTTGTTACAGAAAAGACACAAAGCAGACAACACCGTAAACAAGAAGAAGACAACAGGTATGGCGAGAGTGCCCGTTAATGTCCATTAACTCTCTGCCGGGCTGCGCCTGCGTCTATTTGCTTGGGTTTTGTTTTCCTTTCATGACCGGATGAATGGCTGTTGTTTGTCTGTCAATATCGCTCGGGCCACTCGGACAAAAAGACAAAAGTTTAGAGGCCATGAATTGTGTATGAGTCCTGATGTGTAGGCTGACTGACGGCTGTGTTGTGTTTGTCTCTCAGTGCTGCGGAGCGGAGCGTGGCACACCATCATCTGGAAGCAGGTATCACTTTCAGCCCATAACGCTCATGTGCCTCGTCTCTGTTTCACAGTCGTATTTTAGTTGGAATTGAGTGCAGAAACGGGAAGTGCGGTATAATTATGGAATTGAAACGAGTAAAAGTTTTAAAGAATGGCTGCAGAACGAGAACGTTTCTATTTGAATGTGCTCATTAACGGCGCCCAGCTGCGTACGGCCACGCTCCATTAGGTTGAATCAAGTCAAATTTTAAGTCCTTGTTGTGTTGGTGACACGCTTGTTCATCAGACTTTGAGCTCATCTGTCTCGGGACAGGTGAGGGAATCAGTTCCAGCTCAACGTCTGTTTTTGAAGACGTTTTATTTCCCACCGGGTTTCTCTCTAATCTTTGCTTGGAAGATTTAAATTATGTACTTTTTTATATTTTAGCTATTGATATAAATGAACATGATTTTCCTTCTGTTTCATTTGTACAGAATAAAGTTAGCGTGAATTTTTCTGAATATTTAGATTTCCATTGGACCGATTATATTCTACCTGTTTTATTTGTGGACATTTTTAGGGAATAAAAAAACCCGCAGTAGTGTTTCGGTCCCTCTCGACGCAGCATGCTGCCTGTTTGAACTTGTTCACATGCTTTTCCCTTTTTTCTAATGACAGCGGGAGTTTTTTTCTGGTGTCTGACAGTCAGAATGTGCTTTTTTCAGACATTCTGATGACGCTCTTCCACAGATTTGTAGTTGGGGTGTTTTTTTCCCCTCTGATTGTAAAGTGTGAACATCTCGTAAAATAAACACTTCTTCAGTTATTATTTCTTGTCCCCCCCTCCCCCCCCCAGTGTAATATTTGTGCCTCGTTCTGGCTGGTTGGTTTTCCACTGCTGTGCTCTCTCTGTCACGTGACGTCACCACTCCTTTTTCCATCTGATGGCTGAATTCCTTCTAGGCACCGATTAACCTGCTTTTTGTGTCTTCTCCTCACCTCTCTAACTCTCTTTGACCCCTGACCTTAACCCCACCCCCTCTCACCCCTTCTGTTTCCCTCCCTGCTGCTGTTGCACTGCTGCTTCCTGGCCACCAGGTGGCGGTAGGAGACATAGTGAAGGTGACCAATGGCCAGCACCTTCCAGCTGACATGGTTATAGTTTCCTCCAGGTCAGACTCTGTTTTATGATTGTGCAAATGCATGAATATGTGTTTAATAATAATAACAACAATTATTAGCTTTGCATCACCTTTAAGTGGCCAACACTAATATCTAATAACTTATTGATATGATTGAACTTTTCTGTATAATTTCTGGACAAGTAGAAGCAAATTGTTCAATAATGAAATCCTTTAAATCAAGTAAAGTTTTGATAATTGCGCAAATCAAACCAACTCTTGATATTTTTGATGATGAATCTTATCGCTCGTTCTCTTTGCAGCGAGCCACAGGCCATGTGCTATATTGAGACCTCCAACCTGGATGGAGAAACCAACCTGAAGATCCGACAGGTACAACATGTTTCTCTGATTAAACTGGAACTCCACTGGGAATTTCAGCTCAGTTGCTTTCCTCTGTTTTTTTTTCCAGGGTCTCTCGCTCACCGCCGGCCTTCAGACCCTGGAGGATCTGATGTCTCTGTCAGGCCGTTTGGAGTGTGAAGGCCCCAACAGACATCTGTATGACTTCACCGGCACTCTCCGGCTAGATAACCAAAAGTGAGACACAAAGTTTCAGTTTTTGGTAGCAGCTTTACTCCCAGGGTTAAAAAAATATTGCTCATTAGTTTTTAGCCATTTTTAACACTTTTTAACCTATTTTTTTTATTTTCCTCAAAAGTCCAGTTCCTCTGGGTCCAGACCAGGTACTGCTACGTGGGGCTCAGCTCAGGAACACACAGTGGGTTGCGGGAATTGTAGTCTACACCGGCCACGACTCCAAACTCATGCAGGTAACTCTTGTCTGAATATGCAAAATTCCGATTTTAAAGAAAAACTATGCAGTTTTTCTTCCCTTTAGCACCCCCTAGTGTCCGTTATTATTTCCCTGTTGTAAAACTGAAAGTGAAACTTATCTCGCTGTGCGTTCGTCTTTTTGACACTTTAATCTAACAGCTTAAATGTCTCTTCAGTCTTCATTAGTGTCTTCAGGAGTGATTCATCACTAAGTCTAACAAATCAGCTGTGTTCATGATCTAAAACATCCAGGAAACGTGCTGGAAGCTGACTGCAGCGCCAGGCATGTCAGCTCCACTTTATTAAGACTAACAGGGAGCGACCCGCCACTCTGAATTTGCAAGTGAGATATTCTGGCCACAGAGGGCGGTGGGTTCTGAGTGACCTTTCATTAACCATGTAATGGGTCATTTTAGCACATACTGGCTCAAGAAGATGATTATTTTCAAAATATGAAAAAGTAGCATGAAATTAAAATAAAAGCCGTTTTTAAATAGATTTTTTTATTCAAGCAATTTTTGAAAAGCTTTAATTGAAATCCTTACATTCGCTGTTTTGATTGCTTAGCTTATTTATTTATGTTTTTACATCATGGCACTGTTGCTGGATTTTTATGCCTTTACCTTTCAGAACTCCACCAAGGCGCCGCTGAAGCGCTCCAACGTGGAGCGGGTGACCAACATGCAGATCCTGGTCCTGTTTGGGATCCTGCTGGTCATGGCGCTGGTCAGCTCTGTGGGGGCAGCGATCTGGAATAGAGAACACACAGATGAAGCCTGTTGGTACCTTTCCCGTGAAGGTGAGAGAACAAACACACACCTCATGAGCATGGAGATGAGGAACCAGAGGAAATACTGATTTATGTTTTTAAACCAGGTGACATCTCTACTAACTTTGCATACAACTTGCTAACGTTCATCATCCTCTACAACAACCTGATCCCCATCAGCCTGCTGGTCACTCTAGAGGTGGTGAAGTTCACACAGGCTCTCTTCATCAACTGGGTAGGACTGATCTACATTTTAACAATTGCCGTTCTTAAAAACCATGTTTACATAAGAGGGACGTGTCTCCTTGGCTTCAGGACATGGAGATGTATTACTCAGAAACGGACACACCAGCCATGGCTCGAACATCTAATCTGAACGAAGAACTGGGCCAGGTTAGTTCTCCTTCGTTAATGCAGGACTAATGAAGCACGCTGGTCATTTTGATCGCATGTGATCTTCGTCTCTTCCAGGTAAAATACCTCTTTTCTGACAAGACGGGAACCCTCACCTGTAACATCATGCACTTTAAGAAGTGCACCATTGCAGGAATCACGTACGGGTCAGTCGTGCTTTATTTATTTAAACAGCTCTTTACCATCTTGAGTTGATCTGTGAAAGGAGCACTCTAATGAGGGAGTGTGAGCTCTGATTGCTGCTAAACACACTTCTGCTGTTTCACTCTCTGAATCATGTAACAGAGTAACCTAGTCAGGTTAGTCTAGTTATGTACGCTTCATTAAAAGAACTAATCAGCTGTTTTTGAACTGCTTCTTTTTGCAATCCACCCTCATCCCTAACTGCAGCCATTTCCCTGATCTTGATTGTGATCGTTCAATGGAAGATTTCAGGTTGGTGATCGTCATGCTTTTCCTTTTTGCCTTTCTTAATGTTTCTTGTCCTTTCCTGTTTTCTCTAAGTGGATTCACTAGGGGTGGGACTCGATAAAAAACATTAATATGGGCTTTGCAATGAATTAATCTTGATTAATTAATTAATCAAATTTATTCGTTCAAGACAGTTTGCCCCCAAACAATTTATTTTTATTAAAAATAATGTTAGTGAGGGACAGATGACATAACCACATTTTAATGAGTTTATTTCTATAACCACAAGGTCTGTTTGATTACTTTGGTCTCATTATGAACATAACCATTGTAGGATTTGCTGGGATGTGTAAATATTAGTATTTGTGTTGTTGATGAAGTATAAATAGACATGGAATATGTAAATGTGTGCTAAACTGACCACTAGGTGGCCGCAGAGCACTGCTAATATAGATAGAGGTGTGGTGTAGAGTTCAGGGGAAGTTCTGCTGAGGTTTTCAAGATGAATGCTGCGTTTACGTTTGTCCCTCCTGCTGTAATAAATGTTATCTGGATAAAGTTACTGCCTGCCTGCCTGCCTTCTACCAACCACAAAAATAACGGTTTTCTTTCTTTTTTTTCTTCACGAAGAGCGATTTAGGTGTGTTTGGAGCCCATAAAAAAGTTTTATATGGTCTTGTACCCCAGGCTCTGGTGTTTTTTTTTTTTTTTTGATGTGCAGCTTGATGATATTTATTGATAAATAGGGCATTAATTTGGATGCAAAACTTCGTTTGGGCTCCTTCAGTAAATTTGTTGACGCATTTTTTTCTTCTAATTATTTATTTGTAATAACTCGCGTTAAATTCCCACCCCCTAGTGTTAACATGAGCTTTGTGTTAAGAGTGTAACTAAAATAATAAATGTTCTTTCAGCAATCTGCCGTCCAACAGCAACAACTCCACAGAGTTTGACGATCCAACTCTCATCCAGAACATTGAGAAAAACCACGTGAGTGTCCCGAGGACTTCTCCTGTATTTAAACATTTTAATAGCCCAAACTGACTTGAATTCATCTTTTTTGTTTTCAGCCCACATGGCCTCAGATCTGTGAGTTCCTGACGATGATGGCGGTGTGCCACACGGTTGTTCCAGAGAGAGAGGGTGACCAGATCATCTACCAGGCCTCCTCGCCCGATGAAGGAGCGCTGGTCAAAGCGGCTAAAGGACTGGGCTTCGTCTTCACCGCTCGGACCCCTCATTCCGTCATCATCGAAGCCGTAAGCGTGCCAAAGTTTGTCCAAGCATCTCTGTTTTTTTAGGAGCAGATGTTGAGATTTTTCTTCACTTTTCAGAGAGGAAAAGAGATGAGCTACGAGCTGCTGAATGTGCTGGAGTTTTCCAGGTAACTCTTCCTGAAATGTCACGTTAACCATTTTAAACGACTCGTGATTGAGTCATGCATCAAACCTCAATGCTTCTTCTTTCACAGCAACCGCAAACGCATGTCTGTGGTGGTCAGGACGCCCAATGGGAAGCTGAGGCTTTACTGCAAAGGAGCCGTATGTTCACGTCTTTGTTTCTGATCCTAAGGCTTGTTCCAAATTTTTCTGTAAATGCTGAAACTCTCATCTTTTTTAGGATAATGTTATTTTTGAGCGTCTGCACGAAGCGTCTCAGTACAAAGACTTAACTGTTGCTCATCTGGAGCAGTTTGCCACTGAAGGTAGATGTTTCTGTTGTTGATTTCCTTCTTAATCCATAGTTGTTGTATTCTTGTCCTTTTCTTTCTTCTCTAAATACAATCTATTAATGTCCCCCAGGCCTGAGGACTCTCTGTTTTGCGTACGTGGACCTGGAGGAGGCCGCCTATCAGGAGTGGTTGAAGGAGTACAGCCGTGTCAGCACTGAGCTGAAAGATCGCGCTCAAAAACTAGAAGAAATATATGAAGTACTAGAAAAGGTAAAATATTTGGCTTGAAAGCAGCTATGCAACAATCGCATAATCTTTGGAAGTCTAAAAGGTTTATTTTAGACTATTTAAAGTGGAAAACATAAATTATTACCGTCTTACTCTTTGTAGAAAGTAATTGTGCCTGAATTTTACCCAGAAAACGTCACTTTAGCAATACTTGCTAGATTTTAAGTGTACTTTTAGGGTATTTGTGCATCCTTGTTTAGAGTACAGCAGTTGTTCTTCTGCATAATAACTAATTTACATTATTTTATTTAAAAGAACAGCTGTGATTCCCAGCAGGGGGCAGAATGACTCCACATTTAACCCTCAAAATTCACCCTTTTCAAGTCTCCTTTTTTAATTTTTCTTTCATCCCATGTGGGTTTTTGTTTAGTAGAAGTCAAGTCCATGCTGGTCTTACAGCAAATATTTCTGGTTTGTAAAGTAAACACCAGGACGTTTAGCTGGAAGCTGAACTAATAGGTGTAAAAACTAAAGATTTAGAGAAGTAGGGGTGGGGAAAAAAGAGGAAGCAGGAGGAGGAGGAGGAGGAGAGCCCCAGCTGGGAGACCACAAGGGTAATTACCTGCACCAGGCTGCCAAAAGCCTCGTAAAACTGGAATCAACAACACTGTTGTGTTAACTTGTGTGTGTGTGTGTGTGTGTGTGTGTGTGTGTGTGTGTGTGTGTGTGTGTGTGTGTGTGTGTGTGTGTGTGTGTGTGTGTGTGTGTGTGTGTGTGTGTGTGTGTGTGTGTGTGTGTGTGTGTGTGTGTGTGTGTGTGTGTGTGTGTGTGTGTGTGTCTAACGAGGACAAACGCATTTAAACGCTGAACAAATTAAAGCAAGCAGGGGAAAGGTAATGGGTTAGTTCTTGGTGCTGAGGTTTTGGACGTTTTAGTTTCATCCTGAAATCATGATGATAAACGTCCGTCACAAGTTTTAAAGGTGTGGAACACAGAAAGACCATTTTAAAATCATATTTCTTATTATAATCGGTCACTCTGAGTTTTTCATACAGGCTGAACAGGAAAATAGTCCCCTACACATGCACCTGCATTAGCTTCTGAGAGAAAATAGATCCTGACAGAAGCTAACCGTTAGCACACGGCAGTACTCCTCCTGGCTTGTGTTTTTTGTGGAGATGAAACCTCAACGTTGCAAGTCAGTGGTAGAGTAGCGTTGTTATCCAATCAGAGGTGAGATGCCCGAATATCAGGGAATAAGACTCCAAAACCTGCCGTCTGGAGCTTAGCTGTGATGTGGGCTCACTTCTCGTGGTTGGAAATGGTGCACCGGTGTTTTTCTTCCCCAGAGGATGACTTATTCATTCCTATTACAGACCACTGCAAATGTATTGATTAAATGAGTGTCCCACACCTTTAAAGGCTGTGATGTCTGACCCACTCTGCAGGCTAAATTTGATTTCTCTGTTTTAATCTCCTTAGATTATCTCTGACTCTTTATCCTCATCAACAGAACCTGCTGCTGCTCGGTGCCACGGCCATAGAGGACCGTCTCCAGGCCGGTGTCCCCGACACCATCGCCACCCTGATTAGGGCCGACATCAAGATCTGGGTCCTCACCGGCGATAAGCAAGAGACCGCCATCAACATAGGTGAGGAAGTTTTGAACAACCCGACACGTCCCTTTTCGGCCGTTAGATTACATCAGAGGGATGTGTAACTCAGGAGTGACACGTTTTTGGTTTCTTGGCAGGTCTGTAGAAAGATGGTGGCAGATGTCCAAAAAAAAGGAAGAAAAAACGGGACAATTGTCACATTTGATTTAGAAGTCGGGACATTTCTATAGATCTTTTAAGACACCTGACGTAGAGCAAAGTGGGATAGAAATCATCCTAATTTTGAACTTCTGCATTTTATAAATCTCTGATTTTAATGATCTGAGCAACAATTGTGTAAACTTCATCTGCTGCTCCTCAGGTTACTCCTGTCGTCTGGTGACACACGGCATGTCCCTCATCATTGTCAACGAAGACTCTCTTGACGTGAGTGAAAACCTTTATTTATTTATTTTTTTTAAAGCTCTGGGACTTTTTCTGTGCTTATTCCCACGGGAAGAAGTTTTGCGGTGGGGTTGAGCAGGTTACTGTGAGAACCAGGGTGTGGTCACAGCCAGACTGGTGGGTGGGGCTCTTTGTGTTCACAGGTGCAGGTAATTAAACCCTCTGATATCCCCTCCCCCTTGTTTTTGGAGGGCAACAGTTCTGAACCAAAACAAATCTCCATTCTGACTAAAAATAAGAACTTTTGGAGATGATGCATCATAAATGTATAGTAAATGGCCTGTGTTTGTATAGCGCCTTCTTATGGTTGTGCAACCCCCCAAGGTGCTTCACAACACATTCAATCATTCACACACACATTCACACGCTGGTGGGGATGAGCTGCGATGTAGCCACAGCAGCCCTGGGGCGCACTGACGGAGGTGAGGCTGTTGAGCACAGGCGCCACCGGTCCTTCTGACCACCACCAACAGGCAAGGTGTTTTTTTTGCATGCGGTTGTTAGGCCTCAGTAGGTGGGCGTCTCAGACTGGGCTTGTAGAATAACTGCACTAGTCTGCAGCATAATCCAGTTATATGATTAACAGGGCACCTAATTTGTGTGTTAAAGGATTTTAATTAGCTCCTGGTTGTACATTTAACTGCACACAGTCACCCCATCACCTTTTCTGATTCCTGCCCGGCCCCGATAAATGGGCTGTTGGGGAAATTTCACACTTTCACACCCATCAAAGGTGAAATGCCTCGAGGTTCTCCAACCTTCTGAGCTGCTGGGAGAAACTATTTTATGAAAAGGTCGGATTGGGGTCAATATTAGTTTTTAGACTCTTTGTAGGAGACTTTTTTTTTTAAATTATTATTATCGTACCTGTTGGAGGTAGCTAACTGAATTAGCTGGACAAACAAGCTACACCCTCATAAATAACTTAAATGTAGAAAGGGTTGTAGTGGTTCTGGTTATTTACACAGATTTTACGGTTTAAAGCAGCTGCATGTAGCTGCATGTAGCCTTTCTGGTTGCAGATCGGGACACTTTCAGCAGGAAAATCCCATTTCTGATGGAAAACCCATGTAAGGGAAGGCTGATGGTGACGGAAATGTTTATAAAGTAGTGTTTACTTAAGAAGTTTTAAGATGGCAGCACTCCCTTTTGGTCTTCGGTTAGCATTTAGCTTATCCTAGACGCTCTAAAATCAGCACAAAGAGAAAAATAGTTGATGCTGAAATTGGAGTAATACAATGAGTGTTTTTCTCCGTCTGTTTGAGTGAGTGGACATACTGCCATGTTTGTCCCATAACAAAGCCTGAATATCTTTAGCGTCTACGTGTGGAAAAAAAAAAGAAAATGCTTGAATCCTTTTTAAGCTGTTTTCAGACAGAAAAGACGAAATGAATGATGCCACAGCGGAGTGGAGCCGTCTAAAGGTGGAAGAGTTGCGGAACTGAGGTCTCCGCCACTAAAAAGCATCTCTAGTCGTTAAGGTTTATGACTCTCATAAAAATCCAATTAGACTTTTGAATATAAACACATTTGAAACATGCACGTGGTCCCTTTCCGTCATGACGATTTCTGAGAGCTCTGGTTGTGTGATGCAGATGAAAGCCACGCCCGCCCTCAGATCCACGCTTATCTTTCATTCACTTAAAATAACTCACACCAGCTCCTCTCGTTTGCCCGTGAGTGAAAGCAGAAGCTGCTTATCGAAGTCGCTCCTCCAGGCTGACCTTTCGCCCCCATTTGTATGAGGCGCGGCGGTGCAGCTGCTCGTGCTGTAGACAGAGAAATCAGTGCGGTTGTGTGTCTTTATAGACGTGGGACTCAACAGATACACGTGGAATGCTTTATAGGTCGCTGATGCCGTCCCCCGTTTGTTCTCCTCACACCACTAACTCCACATCTGTCAACACGCTCTCCGAGCTCAGGAAGCGACCACACACTCCGTGTGACAGCAAAAAAAATGCACACTAGACAGATTTAAAGAGCAGAAACACGTTTCAAAACGTTTGTTTATTTTCACGTAGACACAAGAGCGGGCTTGTGAATTATATTGGGTGGACTGTTTACGCCAACGATGGAGAATCAGGAAAGAGACGAAGGAGATTGGGCTGATCCCTTTGAGGGCCGATGAATGAGCAGTAATGCGATCTCCTTTTGGTGCTCCTCCTCACCAAAACAAACCCCAGGACCAATGCCTTCTGGGTAAAGGCTCTGCGACCACTGAAGCTGTGACGAGGGCCATCTGTCACCTTCGGAGCCCGCAAATCTTCATCCAGTCCGCCTTTTTTCTTTTGTGGTCGTTAAAATAAGCAAACAAATGTAAAGTCTTCTTGTTTTTGAGTCTGCTTTATGTCATTCAGTGTTTGGTGAAGATGAAGTAGCTCACACATATTTATTCTGACTTTCCCACAGTCAGCGGGCGCTCGTCGCGTTGCCTGCTGTACAACTCTTAAACAAACACCATCTTTCTTCTGGCTATTAATCACTCTTATGAGCAAACGCACACATTTAGTAGTGGTGTGTGTTGTTCTCACACTCGTGTGTGTGTGTGTGTGTGTGTGCGTGCGTGCGTGCGTGCGTGCGTGAGTGCGTGCGTGCGTGAGTGCGTGCGTGCGTGCGTGTGTGTGTGTGTGTGCGTGTGTGTGTGTGTGCGTGTGTGCGCGTGTGTGTGTGTGTGTGCGTGTGCGTGTGTGTGTGTGCGTGTGTGTGTGTGTGAGGGTTTCTGGCCCAGGCAGTGGAGGATGTGGCTGTTTGCACAGATGCGCTGTCTGATAATTAAACGCTATATTAAATCTCACCGGTGACATGATCTGCATGGTTACTCCGAGCATGGAGCTTCACTCAGCAGCTCCCCCTCCTTCTGGTTAACATTTGTATTTTCCGCATCGTCTTCTATTTAGTATTTTTATTTTTGTGTATTTCTTTATTCTGTAGTTCAGATTTCAAGGTGGGTGGCCTGGATAGATGTGGCGTTTGGATTCGCCGATCATCACTGGAAAATTGGTGTTTTTAAAAATACATTTTGCAAAAAAGTATTAAATTGCAGCTATTCTTACTTTTATGTAGAAGTTTTCTCAAATAAATTAAAGTAACACTAAATAGTTCATCTTTACCATTGATCTCAGTGATTGTTTGGTCAGAAACTTGACCAGTTTCATATTTGACACCACTCTGCAGCCACCGTCCGGCCAGTTTTGTGGAGCAGGTAGGTGTCCTATAGAGGGAGCTGTTTACCTGTTTTATGGTTGTTAGCTGTTATGCTAGCAGTTACCATTTTCAGTTTGCCGATTGTCAATAAAAGCACAAGAATAAGAAAAAGAAGTTATCTTTTTTTGTTGGCATCATGGTGGAGCCTGGAAGCAATATGTCTTTGGAGGGAAAGCAAAGGGCTAAAACCAGAGTGAGCATCTGCGCGACCTACACTCGAGGGAGCTGAAGGAGGCTAAGAAATCAGACAGATGGTGACTTGGCATTGTTGCTGCTGGATTTGTATGTGATATTTTTTGTCTGTGGAAATTCTTTGTTCATGGTTTATTTCAGTACTAGTTGACTCATGTTAGTGTTAGCGCATTGTTAGCGCTAGCTACAGCAGGCTGCAGCAGGGTTGTTTATGACAGCTGTAATTCCACTTTCAACCAGTAGGGCAGAGGAGCAGGAAACTGCTCAGTCTTACTTTAAATATGATTCTAATTCAATATTACAACAGAACTTTTGGCATTGAAAAATAGTCATTTGCATATTTGAACTTGTATTTATTTCTAAAAAAGGCAAAAGAAAAAAAGTAAGTTTCCTCTGATTTATTTAAAAAAATCTAAATTTGTTCTAGAAATGTTACAATTTTTTAAGAAATATCACAACTTCTCAACGTTCAGCATTTACATTTGTCAAATTAGAGATCTTTTTATGAATTTGTGTATTTCTGGTTTAAGTATTTGCATTTTTCTTTCAAATGCAAAGAAATTAGGTTTGGGGTACTGCCTCCAAGCCCCGCCCCTTTTTTGGACCCAAATATAAACCTGAGCAGAATCCCAAGCAGCACCATCTTTAATTATGCTGTTGTGTCTCTGAATCCTTGAACATCTCTGCTTACTGTCAGACCAGATGCATATGGAAAAACTAACATTTGGCTTGGAACCCATGTCTGCCAAGATCAGTCATATCGCAAGCAGTGGAATTAAAAAAATTACGCCATTTTTCCCACATATGTTATCCAAAAAAAGCTGAGAATTTAGCATGAGGAGAAAATTCTGTTATATTAAAGTTTAGATAGTGGCCCACTTGGCTGCAGAAACTAACCAGTGTTCATACTTTAGTTACCCTCTTAAACCCTTTGGCTCATTGCCGGCTTATCCTGGTTATTATCCAGGGTTATCTTGCAACTGAAGCTTTGTCTGAACCTGCTGTGACAGGTTACATTTCTGTATTAGGAGCTAACAACATGTACACCACACTGTGCCTTTATGTCTGGACAAATATTAGAAAACATTAAAAGATTCACTAATAATTGAGATCTTCATAGATTTGTCAAGCAAAGCAAACTTAAATATGGATAAGATTGTAAAAATGAATGAAAATGAGTACATGCACCACATTTACAGTACACACACACACACACACACACACACACACACACACACACACACACACACTTACGCAAAGCACATCCATACTGTGTGAGTTTCAGAATTCTGACAACCTGTAGTCGACTTCAATCCTTTAATTATGTTTTGTTCTCCTTTTGTCCCTGTTTTTTTTTTTTTTTTGGGGGGGTGCAAACAGAAATTCCGGAATACTAAGCAAAACAAAGCCTCAGGCTGAGAAAACAAAAGAGCAAGGAATTTTTGGGAAGTGCTGGGACACAAAGGGTATGCATGTGTGCATGGCTATTTGGCAAGAAGAAGAGCAGCTGCTTTATTCATACGATAGTGTTCCATAGAAGTGTGTGTGCACGTGAGCGCGTGCGTTTACTGCCTTGTGTCCTTTTGGCTCTGATATGTGCACACAGATGGGTCAGCTCTGTGTGGGCCGCTGGTCAGATGGATGCCAATAACCCAGTGTGGTCCTGTCTAATTATTTGGTCCGGTATAAATACTGGCTGCGTGTTTACGGGTCCATGTTAGTGCAAACCGTTACTTTTAGGGGATCTCATTTCGCATTGTTGCTGTGTTTATAATGATAACATGATTTATTCCACATGAAACAAAGAGAACTGGTAGAGTGACAGAGCTGCTTGTTGATGCAGTTTTTAACAAATGTTGCATTAAACCATTAAAAGTGCTAACTGCTTTTTAATTTTAGAACTTTTTTAGTTTTCTATTATTCTAAAGCTCTGATATGTCTGTTTTTAGATGATTCCTATTTATGTAAAAATATACAACAGTTTAATAACCGAATTAAACTTTTGCATTTTTCCAAAACAGCAAAACTTTGAACCTTTTAGGTAAAACTCTCCAGGATTCTGCAACATTAACAATAACATTAGTGATTAATAATAAAAGTGACTTATTTACACCAGATTCTAGCCTAGGATGGTTGGTTCCACTCCTCAAAACACTAAATTGTGTCTAAAAGTAGAACAATTTTGCAAGAACGTGCTTCATTTTTTTAATTGACCTTTTGCTGAAAGATTTCAAATAACTAATGGCATTCCTTGCTGATTATTGCTAGTTCAAACTTGCCAATTTGCTATGATGCATTCATGAAACCACAGACTAAATCAAATTTGTGGTCGCTTGCTGACAAGTTTGTCCTAGAAAAAGAAATTCTTGCTGCATTTTGAGTCATTTTGACCCGAATTTGCCCCTTTTTTTAATCTCAGTTTCTCTTTAATCAGCTAATGCTTCAGAGTCCTAAAGATTTAAATGAGACCTAAGGTAAATAAGAACTTTGGTCAGTGTAATAACAAAATAAATTCAGGTGTGTGTGTGTGTGTGTGTGTTTGTGGGGGGAGAAGCAGGGTGGTGGTTAGCTTGTAGTGTGTCTGCTTCTCCACATGGAATTCATTATATCCCCGCTGGATGTTTGTTTTCTCTATTAATCCCTGTTCCTCTATTATCAAGAGCTCCATCAAAATGGCCCTGCAGGCGGGCTGGCATTTACACACACACACACACACACACACACACACACACGCACGCACGCACGCGCGCGCGCACTTTCACGCTTTGCACGATACATTTAACCCATCCACAACAGTCATTCACCACATTCATCTTTCTTTTCTCCTTCTTGTTGTCTGTTTGTACTTTCTTTTTTTTTCCAATTCAGCACATTCAGGGAAGATTTGAGATTTAACCCCCCTTCTCCCCCCAAGAACATCCCAGCATCAGATGATGTCTAGAGCAGTGTTTCCCAACCATGGTCCTCAGGGACCACGGTCCTACATGTTTTCAATGTCTCTGCTTCAGCAAACCTGACTTGCATTGACTCCTCAGGAGGACATCAAGTGCTGCAGATACTGGTTAATCGCTCATTCATTTAAGTCAGGTGTGTGGCAGCAGGGAAACACTGGTGTTTAAAAGGGCAACATGGAAAACATGCAGGACGGTGGTCCCTGAGGACCAGGGTTGGGAAACACTGGTCTAGACTAGCAACTGTGGACTTTATATTGGCAGCCCTAATCGTTTGGGGGTACACACAAGCAAATCGTTTCCCCCAGATTAAAGCCGACCGTGCAACCATGAACGTATGCCTTCCATTTGCTGTCGGTAGTGTTGACCTTTCACCACTTGTGTTTTGATGTGTGTGATTTAAATTTTCACCACTTTGTGATGCAACAAAATCCCCACCAAAACCAGAAAATGTGATTGGTGTAAACATCCACTGCCACATCAGTCACTAACCTAGTATCCTAGAGTTTAAAGCCACATTTACCTTGTTCTTGTCGAGTATAGAGCTCCGGGGGTTGACGTCACTTCTCCCGGCATGCAACAGTTCAAATTGAAACGGCGCCATATTGGCATGCAGAAGCCGGCAGCTGGACTATTTGTTGTTAGAAAACTCAATCAAACGGGAAATATGGTAGATTCCTGTTGTGCCCCAGGATGCAGAACAGACGCGGACGACATAAGGAATGAGCCATCTACAGGATTCCCCAAGATCCAGAGCGCCGCAAACGTTGGATCATTATAATAAAACGTGCTAGTGACCGGGCGAAAATGAAACTGTGAGATCCAGAGAGTAAAGGTTTTCACTTATGCAGCGACCGATTCATATCAGGTACTTAAACCAACGTTTCCTCAACTGTGTATGGTATTTATTTGAAATGCTTTTATTATGATTCTTAGTGGGCTTCCTAAACTTATTTTGGCGTGGCTTTTTCTGTCTTACTCATAGCAACAAGTAAACATCACGTAAAACGTTGCCTCGTGAGTTCTGCATGCTGCTGTTTACGTGTTTTATGATCATAGCACTTAACCGGCTAAGCTGTATTTAATTTTTAAGCAATGGTTGATCATTTGTCAGATCACACATAAAAAGCACTTTGGATTGCTATTATCTGTCTCACCGAGACTACTTACGTGTAAATCTGTTATTTGTCCATCCATCCATCCATTTTCATCCGCGTATCCGGAGTCGGGTTGCAGGGGCAGTAGCGTGACTTCCCTCTCCCCAGCCGCCGGAGCCAGCTCCTCCGGGTAAATCCCAAGGGGTTCCCCGGTCAGGTCCGGTGTTGTGCCGATAAGATGTCCGCTCCAACAGATTCTGGCATTTTTAAAAAGTATCCCAGGGGCACGGTAAGGGTCGGAGATGTTTAGTCTATTTAATTTCTGACTATATAAAACGATTTCTTCGGTTTTAAAGTGTGAAGTAAACTCCGACGAAGTAAAATCCAAGCGGATCCCGTTCATGTTCATGGTTACATCCGTGTTTGTTTACCTTTTTTGCATGCCAAAATGGCGTCCACTAACTGAGAGTCACGTGGGGTCCGGAGCTCTATAGGCAGCTTGGGGTGACTACTAGAGCATACCAAAAAATCTGCACCATCTCCAACCTGCTTTCCTATGTAAATTAGTAATGATGCATTGGCCACGAAAAACCTGGTTGTTCAGAGAAAAGCTGGTCACAAGTTTAGGCACACCACCTTAAGTCTGCATGTCCAAACTTACTTTAAAGCTTCAATAGCAAATTTGGTAAACAAGCTAGCTTAAAACATGTTTTTTCTTAATGTTCTAACATAGTATAGCTATAAATATATTGTGGAGTATATATATTTTTGTCTAAAAACCTCTGCCAGTAACATGGCTTGGACGAAAGCAACCATGGGACCATCTGGTCATCGGTCTTGCCAAACTGCTGCACTTCCCTGGGTCCTGTATTGATTACACACTCACGTATTTGGCAACAGAACACCACTGGTGTGAGAGGTTCTCCGCTCAATATCAGAAGGAGAAACCTCTGGCTGCTACTATTTCAGCTCTAGGACAAACTACCAGAGTCCCAAAAAGAAAATCACCATTTGAGTCACGGACAACTAAAGATGTTCAGACCTAGAAAATCGTGACTGGTGTTTAGCGCTGTCTCGTTTCATCTGGTAATGCAGGTTCCCGGTTCTCAGGGAAGATACATGAGGGGAGGTGTGAGTGTTCCTTGACGTGTTGATCTGCTATAGCAGCTTTAACGTCGACTAAATAAGTGTTTGGGTGCAGTAATACTGACTGTAGAACAACGCTACCCCAAGCTCCTGCTAACGTCTTAGTTGGATGAGAGGAAATAAACAAAGAAGCATGTTGGAGCACCAATCATGCTGCAGGGTGTTCTGGAATTTCCAGGCTGTGAACGAATGCCTGATGGATCCGCAGCTTGTGGTCTTTTCTCATTTGCCACCAAACCTACAACCAGCCCGACACCCATCAGCCTTTCCATTGTAGGACTTTATTATGGGGTTGAGTTTGGCCGTTTATCATGTCTCCTGGGCCATTTTGAGCCCCAACAGAGATCAATATGTTATAAAGATGCTCAAAGAACAATTTCTAATTGTAAATTAACCGCTCTTAAGATGGCTTAAAATCACATTCCTTTTGTTTGAAATTGAAATTCTCTCCTTTTTTCCCCCTGTGCTTTTGTTTTCTTGCAGGCAACTCGTGCCACGCTCACAGCTCACTGTTCAACCCTCGGCGATTCCCTGAGAAAAGAAAACGATCTCGCTCTGATCATCGACGGCCAAACGCTGAAATACGCCCTGTCCTTCGAGCTCCGCCAGGCCTTCCTCGACTTAGCATTGTCCTGCAAAGCTGTAATCTGCTGTCGGTAAGAATGAATCCGTCATCCTCCACATTTGTAAAGAAAGCTTTTAGCTGGGTTGGGCATACTTTAAAATAAACTGATCTTCTGATCTTCCTGGGATGCATCTGATAATCTCATCATGTGGAACGTGGCTGCATTTTAAAACTGTGGCGATCCATTAAAAATGCATTCTTACCTAAATCAAGCATCAGTGTGGGAAAGCTTGTGTGAATACTTTGGGTTTGTATTTCCCCAACATGTTTTTTTAAGAAAACAAGCCCATTAACAACTCATGTAACCTATAAAAGCAAAAATGCACACACTTAAACAAATAGCGGGCGAAGGGCACCGCATACAGAGTGAGTCTGTCTTTGTTGTGTGCATGTTAACGAGAGAAAGCGAAGTGAGGACGGTAAAACTGTGTCCTGGTTACCCCGCAGGAGCATATTAATGAAACTAACTGCTGCTTGACTCCTCTACCTCTCATGCAGACTCAGTCGCTGATTCAAAGTGGGTCAAGGCTCACTGCTTGTGCTTTTTAATCTTGTTCCAGTCAAAACCCGTTGAATGTTTAACAAAAGAGTTTCCACTCACGTTTGTGTACTTGTGTGTGTTTTTGTGTAGCCAGGAGGGACGTAACCAAGTCTGTCTTGCGTATCCCAGCCATATCCGGACTCGGGTCTCACAGGCCTTGCAAACAGCCTCCAGCTTCCTCTCCTCTATCTTTTCTTCATGCATCTCTCTTCATCCTCTGTTTGCTTGCACACATGACTTATTTCAAGCATTAAAATTTAAAGACCATGTTTTCCTTCTGATCTTGGCTTTGGAACATAGAGGGATGTCATCCTCTTCTACATAAAAATAAAAATCAGAAACCTGCAATCCTTATCAGATTTATGAAGAGAAAACACAAGAAAGAACTGCTTAAACAAGGAAGGAAGCTGAAGGGAACCAATGTACATATAAATGAACACCTAATCAAGAAAAATGCAGACATTGCAAGGCAAGCGAGACTTCTGAGAAAGCAAAAGAAAATACAGTCAATATGGACTTCAAACTGTAAGGTATTCATTAAACTGAATGGGTCTCCAGAGCAGGCAAAGATTCTCATCATTAAGGAACTAACAGAACTAGAAAAATACAAGTGATAATTGTGCATATAAAACAAGTTTACAAACTGTGGTTAAGATCATCAGAATTTATGCTTCCAAACTTATTTTGGATACTGTAAAAACAACATGGATAACTCTGTTTGATATTGGTCTTGAGTCAAACTGGCAAAAATCACTCAACTGAAATGGATACAGATGATAAAATATATGATATTGATAATAAAATAAATGGAAACTTATATGAATAAACATAAGTTGTGATTATATTGGAGAAGAACAATTGAACTGTGGGAGAATGACTAAGGACACAATGTCACTTATCCACATTAATAGTAGGAGCTTATTTCCTAAGTTATTAATTATCAAAGATTATTTAAATAAATTCAAAAACAAATTTAGTGTGATTGCTATAACAGAGACTTGGCTCAAAGATGATGTGATGGATAAAGTACAAATGGAAGGGTATGAACTTTATTTTGTAAATAGAAAAATAAAAGAGGTGGTGGGGTTGCCCTGTACATTAAATCAGATCTAAAATGTAAACTAGTTAAGGAAATGGCAATGATGGAAGATAATGTTATGGAAATTGTAACAGTAGAAATCTGCAATGAAGCTGCTAAAAATACTTTAATTAGTTGTATTTATAGAGCACCAGGATCATGTATTGGGACATTTAATGAAAAAATTATTGAAATAGTTGATCACATTAAATACAAAACATTATTTCTATGTGGGGACTTTAATATTAATTTAGAGCATGAGGCTGGACAGATAACTAAGGATTTTGCAGATTCACTGTATAGTGTAGGTTTATTTCCCTGATAAACAAGCCAACTAGAATTACATCTCGGACTGCAACAATCATTGATAATATATTCACTAACAATAAGGATGATGTCAGGAAAACAGGGATATTAATGACGGAACAACTGGCCTGTGTGTAGGTGCTTGTGTTTATGCAGAATGTAACTACAGATGCACCAGTTGTAGTTTTTGGAACCAATTTTAGTTTCCAAGTTTTGTACGAGTCTTATGATTTTTGACTAAGAATAAAAATATAAAGCAGTCTTTATATATTTTACACCTACAATAAAATAAATCTGATTATAATTATATTTTAAGTGTCACTCACTCACTCACTCCTCACTCACTCACTCTCACTCTGCCGGGCTAAAAAAACATTGCCACCAAACTAAAGGTCACACTCTAATATTTCATTGGGCCACCTTTAGCTTTCATTACAGCACACATTGTCAGTAGTATTGTTTCGATAAGCTTCTGCAATGTCACCAGGTTTATTTCCGTCCAGTGTTGCATTAATGTTTCACCAAGATCTTGCACTAATGATGGTATTCACCGCTGCACAGAGCCTTCTCCAGCACATCCCAATGATTCTCAATGGGGTTAAGGTCTGGACTCTGTGGTGGCCAATCAATGTGTGAAAGTGATGTCCCATACTCCCTGAACCAGTCATTCATTATCTGAGCCCGATGAATCCTGGTATTGTCATCTTAGAATATGGCCGTGCCATCAGGGAAGATGGAATAACCTGGTCTTTCAGTATATTCAGGTAGTCAGCTGACCTCATTCTTGGAGCACATCCTGTTACAGAACCTAGACCTGACCAACTCCAGCGACCCCAGATCATAGCACTGCCCCCACAGGCTTGTACAGTAGGCGCTAGGCATGATGGGTGCTTCACTTCATCTGCCTCTCTTATTACCCTGATGCACCATCACTCTGGAACAGGGTCCATCAGGACTCATCAGACCAGTTTTTAATAATGTGTTTTTTTCTACCAGGCCGTGTATTTATTCTGGCCATGACCCATAGATGGTGACCAGTCTTGAATCAGAATCAAACAGGACCAATCAGAGCAACGAACAACGTGACGCATTCATAGACAATAAATCAGTCAATGGGGCAGTTTAAAAGAAAAAGAAGTGCCACCATCTGCACATGCTTCAGAAGAGGAGCCCAAGTCTTAATTCAACCAAAGTTGAGGGCAAAGCCATTTCAAGCAAGTGCTGTTCCCAAGCCACTGCCATATTTTCTGCTTGGCACTGTCACAGCTCAACAGTCATTTGCCATAATGGTACTAAGCCCTCCCACCATTGCGCTGTGTGGCCTAAACGTATGCCTAGTTTATGCATCTGCATCAGCTCCACAAGGGAGAGACGCACACACACTGACAGACATTTTACTCTCTGACTTCTACGTCTCCAGGAAAGGGTTGCAAAGCAATTCCCCTTCAGGACAACAGAGGGCGTAGCACTGTTCTGTGGTATCCTGTCATATATCCGGTCAAAGATGGTGCATTTACTATTGTGTTTATATTGTGTTTATATTGTGTTTTTGTATTTCAGAGACATTTTAACACGGATAAAATCTGTCCCTCATTCTCCTCCACCTCCTCATGCGCTCGCCACCTCTAAACCCACGTTTACTGTCGTTTCTGTCCACAAATAAAACGCTTTTCGCAAGGTATTCTTCAAGTTGCTCCGTGTCTGCCGCTAGATATCTTCAGCTTTCTTTGTTTTTGAGGAGGCAATGGTGGGGCTGTCGACGACAGCAGCATCTTGACCAATCACAAGCTTGCATTCTCCGTCTCATTGGACGGGCATTTAGAAAAATGGGCTCGACTCCGTCCGTCTTTGCGAGCCTGCTGGAGAGCCCTCGCAAGAATTTGTAATGGCGTTGCATTTCTCCGTACCGACGCAGAAGCATAAACTAAGCTTTAGCCGGGCCAATCAGAATGATGGGGCGTGGCTCTTTGCTAGTGCTACAGTTTGTCTAGATTACTAGGTTACCAAATGACCGAATAGAGCCTAATGTTAATGAGTAAACGACACGTTTGTGAACTTGAAAAATTGTTGAGTTTGTTTGATTCCAGTTACCTTATCTATGACATTTTTTAAAAACCTGTATTAAATTTCTAAAATAATGATGTCTGCGATAGTTTATTTGCTTAAATCTGGGATTTTGTCGCTCTCGGTCCCTTTTTAGTTGTGACGCCTCAACACAAAACTACTACTTATGCCTGCAGAAGCATTTAGATTCATTAAGCCGAACTGTGGAGCTGCTCAGACTCCTGTTTGACTAACTGCTGGTGGTCTGATGATGAGGAACCAAACTAAATATCAAACAGCAAACAAAGATCAGATAAGATCTAATGCAGTAAATGTTGTTCAGTAATCTTTCCCTGTCATCATCCCATAAGAACCAGTGTTCTGGGAGATTGCTGTAATAAGCAGGTTTTTACACCCAGTTACTTAAAAATGAAGAATAGCCAGAGATTACAATGTTTCTCACCTTCACTGATGAGTGTGTGCGTGCTAGTGTGTGTGTCTCAGGGGGTTGTTGGGTCGAGTGTGATTGTACGCATGGGTTCCTGGCTTCACTGTGCATTTGTTTATAGGAGAGTTTGGCGGCTGCTTATTTTCTGCTCGGTTCCACCGTTGAGGAGCTCTGGGAGTCTTTCATCTTTAGAGCTCCACTTTTCTCCATCCCAGAGTCTGTTGGCGGCGTTTAGAGGCGAGGCAGAGATCAGGAGAGATTTGTGGTCAGAGGCCAAAAGACACAGGAGCTAAAGCACACACACACACACACACACACACACACACACCACACACACTTCTCAGATGCAGAAACAGGAAACACACGGAGCAGAGGTTGATCCCATCCTTCCTTTAATGGCTCCAGAGAAATAGCCTGGGATCCTGTGTTAGTATAGCATTCATACAGCTAATATGAGTTTTTTTTACAGTAAACACCAAAATGGAAGCTGAATTTCAAGGGTGAGATTGTTATTTGTGTACTCATAATTGAATTTTCTCATAAAACCACCTTATGTTCCATGTGATGCCTCACGCAGCTGCTCATTATCTCGTTTTGTAATCTCGTTACCACGGC